GGCGACGTGGGAGGCGGGATCGCGGCTGGCGATGAGGCTGCGGAGACCGTTCTCGATGAGCCGCCACGCGTGGTCTTGGGAGCGGGTGGCGTCCGAGGTAGGGGTGAGGGTGGTGGTGCCAGAGGAGGAGGGGGCGGCGGTGGATGTGGTGGGGTCGGAGGGGTGGTCGTCGTCGTCAAGTCCTGCGCGGGCCCGGAAGGCGGCAAGCGCGAGACGCATGCGTCGCGTCGAGTCATCGTCGTCTCCTAATCGGTCCTGAGGACGGTCGTTGTCCAGAGTACGGATTTGATGCAACCATGGTATTAGCAGGGCATTCCATTCCGCCCCGTTATTGAGTCTTCGGGTGCGGTTCGGTTCCTGTGCAGGGACGGTAAGGGATATGTTATGTCCGTGCAGGCGTGCAAGATCTCTCGCTCGCTGCAGGTCGTATGTGCTGTAGCCTTCCCATGGGAACTCGTTGGGCTGGGATGTGGTCGGATCGTACTGCGAGTCATTCCGTAGCTCGGGGGCTTCGATACTGGCTCGTTGAAGGGCTCGATGTGCCATAGCTATGGCAAGGTCTTCCGCCGTGTCTGGTTCCGCGTTATCCCAGTCCCGATCCGCCTCCTCACGACTGAAATCTTCACGTTCCCGGTTACCGAGCACGGCATGGATCCGTTCGGCATACTGATTAATCCCCTCGGCGAAGGTAGGATCGCGATTGCGGCGTTGATGCTCCCGTCGAATGTTTGCCGCTTCCTCCGCCCAGCTCACGGGTCTTTCGGTCGCGGGACGAGAGTGAACATCGGCAATCTCCATCCGACGCATCAGCGGAGCATCGGAAGCGAGATGAACCACTTGTCGCGCCCGCAATCCGGACCGCAGATCCAGTACGCACACCCGGCCACGATCCTCAGCCCAGACTAAAAGATCCCAAGGTTGCGGTGCAAAGACCATGCTCCTGATGGAGCCCGGTCCAATATCCAGATCGGGACGCGACCCGCTAAACACATCGATCAGGGCATTCTCTGCCAAGTCCGATTTCTTCAGAATATCCACATCGAAGATGCTGACGTAGCCGCACTCCGAGCCCACCGCAACCAGTGTTCCGGTGGGCGACCAAGCCGTGGTGAAGTATCCAATGATGGTGGTTGGCGACGGGACATGTAGCTGGACGATGTTGAGAATGCCCCATTCGTATTTTTTTGGCCTGGAGATTGGGGCCTTGGAGGATGACGTCGGCACATCCATCCGCTCATAGAAGTATGCTTGCTGATAATCTCCCACTGCAACCAGCATCTGCCCATCCGGGGATATGGTCGCATGGTTGGCGGGAAATGGGAGCTCCAGTCTGTTCAGTTCCGCATCTCGCGTCAGGGAGAAGATGCGGACCGTCCTATCATTGTTCGTCAGGACCGCAAGCACCTCCGTCGGCTCGGCGGGGTCATCCTGAATCTGGTGTATCGAGATAGAATTTACAATGTCGTCGCCGAGCTGGTCTGACGTCACTCGCGGAAGGGGAGGGGGGAGGGTTGGCCGTGTTCGTCGTCCATTCTGCCGGTATTCGAGGTTCAGCGGAAGTAATGAGTCAACCTCAGAGGCCGATGGTGGATTGAGTTGGATTCGCGCCCAGTTACCCTCGTCACCCCCGCCCACACATATCCAACCATAACCTGAGGCGGTACATCGGACTTGGAAAGGGAGAGTGGCGATATGTTTCCGGGTCCGGGCGCATACGTTGAGTTCGAAGATGTCTTGGTTGTTCGCGTAGTAGATGATGTTTCGTTCCGGCTGGCTGATGAAGTGACGCAGCTGGTGGTGACTGTGACGATATAAGCGGTCTCATCTCAATCCGCAGAAGGGAACCCTTACGCAACCGGAATCGAGGCTGGCCAGAAGGATTTCTTGGGTAAGATGAACTCGTCGGTGTCGTGATAGACGGTGTGGCTGCCTGTTGTCAGTGTCCGTGAATAAGCTAGACAGTAATGGGCTTGGGTATTTACGGTAACTCATCCACCGCCATGATCTCTATGCAAATGGTCGAGCAAGACTCATGTTACGTGTGGGTGATACAAGGGAATGGAGAACAGTGGGATTCTGTAACACGGAGCAGTTATGCACAGCGGCTACGACGTCACAGCAAGGCGGAGATGTAGGGTCGGCTGGCACGGCAGGATGTGGTTCGTAAGTGGAAGATAGAATAGCGGATAAAGAAATAATAGGAAGGATGTACAGAGGAGTCAATGTTTAATGTAAGTAGGAGGCTATAGGGATTAGTGCGTGGTGAGGAATATTGCGAGGAATATTGATTGATATTGAGGAGGGGAAGTGGAGAGGCAAGTTGACATATGGTGGAGTGGTGCAAGTGGGTGGTGGAATGGTGAATGCTGGGGTCACACCAGGCACCTGTGTAAGGCTGAGTAAAGATATTTGCGGAGATTTCAGTTAATATATGTTCAGGAACGAAGCATGAAAGAGACTGAGAAGGGATAACATGTACCAGAGAAGGGAAGACTGCTACAGGAGAATGGAGGAGTTTGTATGATATGAACGGAATGATATTATGATGAATTGATGATCAACTGAAGGAAGAGGACCTGAACTGGACGAGTGATACTGATAAGGCAATTAAGGCAACAAGGCAGGATTTCAAGGTCCTCCAATGAGATCATGAGATGGGTGGAAGTCACATGATCAATAAGGCATAAGACGTCAAGGCGTCAAGGCGTCAAGGCGTCAAGATGAGACCAGCCACATGAGCCCAGAGTCTGAGAGTCACTGAGTCAGTTCTGTCACGTGCACTGGCCCCGTCTGGCCGGTTCTATCGGTCTTGGCACTTCACGTCTTGGCGCCGCTCGAAATTTCTGTCGGCCCAGTCGTTCCGATTCCATCAATTGTCAATTCTTTTGCTCTCCAAAGCTCCATCTCTCTCTCCATCTATTCATCTCTCTCTCCATCTCCATCTCCATCCCTATTTTCTTCATCCTCCAATTCCTTTTCCTTCATTGCCATTGTCTCTGCTTTGTCTGCCTTCCCTTTCAACCTCTTTCGCTCCTCCCTCACCGTCACCATGTTGCCCTCACGCATGTCGCGCTCTGTTAGTTGCCCCCTTCACCCCGTTCAATCGATCTCGCAACTCACATCCCTTAGATACTGCCGCGCGCATCGGCCCTTTCTCGCTCATCAACATTAAGATCGCCAGTCGCCACATCTTTCTCAAGATTCTACTCAAATGGCGGAGACGAGAAGGTTAAGGGCCCGGTCATCGGTATCGACCTGGGTACCACCAACTCCGCCGTGGCCATCATGGAGGGAAAGACCCCGAGGATCATTGAAAACGCTGAGGGTAAGCATCATCGAGAGATCGATGGAGATGAACCTCTTGCTAACGGTCGCTAGGCACGCGAACAACCCCATCAGTAGTTGGTTTCACCAAGGAGGGTGAGCGTCTGGTCGGTGTCGCCGCCAAACGACAAGCCGTCGTCAACCCGGAGAACACCCTCTTCGCTACCAAGCGTCTCATCGGCCGCAAGTTCACCGATGCCGAGGTTCAGCGCGACATCACCCAAGTCCCCTACAAGATCGTCCAGCACACCAACGGTGACGCGTGGTTGGAGGCCCACAGCCAGAAGTACTCGCCGTCACAGATCGGAGGGTTCGTTCTGAACAAGATGAGGGAGACCGCCGAGGCCTATCTCGGCAAGAAGGTCCAGAACGCCGTCGTCACCGTGCCCGCCTACTTCAACGACCAGCAACGTCAAGCCACCAAGGACGCCGGTCAGATCTCCGGCATGAACGTCATGCGTGTGGTGAACGAGCCGACTGCCGCTGCATTGGCCTATGGTCTGGAACGGGAGAGCGATCGCATCATTGCCGTCTTTGATCTCGGTGGTGGTACCTTCGATATCTCCATTCTCGAGATTCAGAAGGGTGTCTTCGAGGTCAAGTCCACCAACGGTGACACCCACTTGGGTGGTGAGGACTTCGACATTAACCTCGTCCGCAACATTGTCCAGCAATTCAAGAAGGAGCAGGGCATCGACCTGTCGAGCGACCGCATGGCGATCCAGCGTATCCGTGAAGCCGCCGAGAAGGCGAAGATCGAGCTGTCATCGTCCCTCCAAACCGACATCAACCTGCCCTTCATCACCGCTGACGCCAGCGGACCCAAGCACATCAACTCCAAGATGACCCGCGCTCAGCTTGAGGGCATGGTCGGTCCTCTCATCGAGAAGACCATCGAGCCGGTCCGCAAGGCTTTGAAGGATGCCGGCCTCCAGGCCAAGGAGATCCAGGAAGTCATCCTCGTCGGTGGTATGACTCGTATGCCCAAGGTCACCGAGACCGTCAAGGGCATCTTCGGTCGCGACCCCGCCAAATCCGTCAATCCGGACGAGGCCGTCGCCATGGGTGCCGCGATCCAGGGTGCCGTCTTGGTCGGTGACGTGACCGACGTTCTCCTCCTCGACGTCACTCCCCTGTCCCTCGGTATCGAGACTCTCGGTGGTGTCTTCACCCGCTTGATCAACCGCAACACCACCATCCCGACCAAGAAATCCCAGGTCTTCTCCACCGCCGCTGATTTCCAATCCGCCGTCGAGATCAAGGTCTATCAGGGCGAGCGTGAGCTGGTCCGCGACAACAAAATGCTCGGCAACTTCCAGCTCGTCGGGATCCCGCCCGCGCACCGTGGTGTGCCGCAGATCGAGGTCACTTTCGACATCGACGCCGACTCCATCGTCCACGTGCACGCCAAGGACAAGTCCACCAACAAGGACCAGTCCATCACCATCGCGTCCGGCTCCGGTCTCTCCGACTCGGAGATCCAGCAGATGGTCGATGATGCCGAGCGCTACGGCGAGGAAGACAAGGAGCGCAAGTCGGTCATCGAGACCGCCAACCGCGCTGACTCCGTGCTGAATGACACCGAGAAGGCGCTCAAGGAGTTCGAGGACCGCCTCGACAAGGAGGAGGCCGAGCAGATCAAGGAGAAGATCGCGTCGCTGCGTGAGTTTGTCACCAAGAGCCAGGCCGGCGAGGGCACCACCACCGCCCAAGAGCTCAAGGAGAAGACCGATGAGCTCCAGACCGCCAGCTTGACGCTCTTCGATAAGATGCACCGCGCCAAGGCTGAGCAGGGACAGGAGGGACAGCAGGGACAGCAGGAGCAGGCTGGCGAGCAGCAGCAACCCGGCGGTGAGGAGAAGAAGCCGTGAGAGGCGTTTAAATAAAGTGGAGAGGAACACCCTTCCTGGATGATGTGGTGACAAAGTTTTCGGCCTCTGAATTGCTTTTTGCTGCTTTGGGGATACCCCTCACTATCTTTCTTCCCTGTTCTATTCACTTCCCCTCATGGTATTTCTTAATGCCTCACCTTCTGTAATTGTCTTTTACCGACCCTCCTGGATGTGCTGCGTCCAGGTTTTCTTCACTCTTGTTCTTACTAGATTTCTTTCGTCTTATATCACCTCTTGGGTTCTCACTTTCGAGACCCATCTGAACCGAACCCCATACTCCTCATCGCAGCAACACCAGCAACATTCCCCTTCCTTTCCTTGGCTTCGGACTATCCGGCAGGCGTTTTGTTTCGCTGGTGGGTCTGACTCAGCGTCCCATCCCCAGCACCAAAGGAACATGGAAAACGGTGGCCGGGAAAAAGCATTTGTCACCCACGGGTTTTGTGGGTCGTCGAAACGGAAGGCACAATGGTGACGGGATGAAAGGATGGATGAAGAGTGGAGAGGAGAAACGGAGAGGCTTTGCGTGTGGAGGTGGATGTGTCTCGACTGCATGTACAATAGATGTTTGGATGATGAATATAAGGCGACAAATCTCCTCTCTGAATCAGCAGATGCTATTGTTGAATGAGCTATTGTGATTTGTGACGCTCTAAAACTGGCTCCATTGGATGGAAGTTGATGGTCGTTCGCAACTAATCATCCATATACCTAAGCACAAGGAGCACACGTGGGTATTCCCATCTATCTCCCATCTATCCACAAAGGTCATGATCAGGAGTTTTTGACGACTTCAAGGTAGGTTGCAGTATCAATTTGGTCTACTCCAGATGTTGCAGATTACATTCGTGATGTACGCGGAGCGCCAATGCCAACCCTGGAGTTTCAATATCTGGTATATACAGCGTCTAGAACCATGAATCACTCATTCCGTACCCCAGATAATATGCCCACCGGTCCATAACCCCACAAACGCCATCTAATCCCAAACCGATTTGATATCCCATCCGCCTTTCGCGACGCAATACCATCTAACGAGCCCAACCTCCTTCGAAAATAGGCATACTGTGCTATAATACGCTCATCCTCCAATAACCGCTCATCCCGCCATCTCACTGCAACGAAATGGCCCCCCGTCGGCTCTCGCGGTAATGCAGCAGGGCCTGCGAAGCGCAGAAGACGAGGAACAGGCCGTAGACGGCGACGGCGCCGAAGACGGTGGTGGCGACGGCGGCGTGATTGGGGGGGTCTTCTTCGGAGCCCATCATGGAGCGGGAGTTGGACTAGGAGGGGGGTTAGTTGGTGGTGGGTATGAAGGGGGAGGAAGGAGGCGGATCGGGCGGGAGGAGTGGATGGTCGGGAACGGGGGGGTGAGGGAGGACATACGCTGAACAAGGCACCGATGACGGAGAGGATGACGATGGCGAAGACGGAAACAACGATGCTACACGTAAGACGTTAGCGACTGGGAGGTATCGCCATATCGATATGGAGTTGGAGTTGGAATGGGGATGACGAACCATGTCCATGCATTCATGGCGGATACGACGGGCTTCATGTTGCTGGTGTTGTGGCCTTGCGGCGGTGGGTGGTGGGTAGGATTGGCTCGGTCGAGGTCTTGGGAGGGCAATGGAGCTGGTTGAAGGGCGGGTTGGCAAGATTGAGGGTTGATGGAGTGGTTGTTGCGACGATGCAGTCCGAAGGTAATGAGGTCTTCTGGTGCGGATGATGGGATTGCGGTGGTGCAATTCCGTAGGCGGCAGGAAGGGGAGAAAGCCTGAGGCAACGAGGCCAATATTTGTGCGCAGCTACGGAACATCACCGAACATGTAGTCAGCAGGTTATCTCAGCAAGCTCAGACGGTATCTTCAGATGCTGCACGTGACTATAGTGTGGCGGTGCAGGCATCCGAAATATGCCTGCACCGCCACAACCATCTTGCAGATCCCGTCTGAGTCCCAACTGAGATAATCAGCAGGACGCAGGCCCCGTTTCTTGCACTCATTATACAGCCGTTCCTTCCTTCAACAACGGTCGAAAACAGCAAGACCGTCCATGAACAGTTAACCAACCGTTCAACAACCGTTCAACAACCGTTAGAAGACTGTTCAAGAAAAATCTTACCGTTGAAGCAAGTACCTGGCTACTTAACGGTAAAACAACCCATATCTTGTGCCCTGCTGAGTAGGGTGGTGCTGAGGAATACATCACGTGAACCGAACTTCGACGACGGAGACAGCCAACAGGACATCATTATCAGATGTGCCTTCAGGTTATATTCTACAGCTAGAACGGGAATCCGCGGCTTTTCCGAGAATAGTAGGCACAATGGACCGGAGATTGATATCCATCTCTTCTCGTCAACATGGCGATTCTCAATGCCATCTCCATCCCTTCAAATATCCCTGATAACCATTTCCTCACTATTTCTAGACGCACTCGACATACATGGGAGGACTATGACTCCCCCTCCGCCAGAGATCCCTTCGACTTACTACGACCTCCGTGCCTACTACCGTACCCACTATGAAGCCGACTTCGCCTCCGGAAAATACCTCCGCTTCGTGATTCCGTTGGGCGCTCTGCAATGGATCGTTCTCATCCTCTACTACCTCGTCCCACACGACCGGTTCCCCGCGTTACGCTCGCTCCCCGCTCGTCTGTCGCTCTGGGTCGCCCTCTCCGCCCACTGCCTCTTCCTGATTCTTCGAACAAGAAGCGATCAGATATTCGTCTTTCATGGGCTGTTTGAAGCTTTCTTCGTGGCCTGGAGCGGAGCGCTGTTGCTGTGCAGCGACGTGCAGAGAGATTTCAAGAGGGTGCGGCGAGTCGATGTTAGAAGCCAGTGCGCAGAGCGGAGCACGGATGAGCGGCGGCGCGAGTTCGTCTACAAATGGGAGGGCTATCCGCAAGGGAACTTCTCGAACCGCCTGGGTTGGGTCATGGATTTAATCTGCAACCTCCGTGGCGTTGCCTGGAACTGGAAGCCCTACGGAATCCTCCCTCGACCTCCATTCGTTCAAGACCAACTCGACGCCGACGCCACCGGCACCGAAATTCCTCCCCATGTGCCCTCCTCCTCCGAAATCGACCTATACCTCGCCGAAGGCCATTCCAAATCCTTCCGCCACAACGCGGTCGATTTCCTCGTCTCCTTCCTCTGGGTGGACCTCCTCCGGACCCTCATGATCCACGACCCCTATTTCTGGGGCTACCCCTCCGCCCCTCTTCCCGCCTACGTCCAGCGCATTTTCCCCGCCTTCCTCCTCTCCTTCAGCCGCCTCAACACCTTCATCCGCGTCGCCCTCGCTTTGCACTACATCTATAGGTCCGTCCGCCTGCTCTACAACTTGTCCACGTGCATCTTCCTCGGTCTTTCCTTCATCCCCGCCTTCCACTCCGTCCTGAACGTCAACGGGGAATACTGGCTGCACCCGTCGACCAACCTCCCCTTTCGCCATGCGCTCGAGATGGGACTCGTGGGCTTTTGGGGCATGCATTGGCATCAATACCTCCGCGCCACGCCCACCCTGTGCGGACGAAAGATCCTGGAATGCCTCGGGATCGTGGAGCGGTCGACAATTGGGAAGCTCCTGCTGGCGTTCATCGTGTTTGGGATGAACGGGGCCTTGCATTCCGTGTCCGGGCACTCCGCAATAGGGGATTCGGATCTGCGGCGCGGCGGTGTGATGGCGTTCTTCGTAATGCAGCCCGTCGGGATCATTCTAGAGCAATGCGTGTGGTGGGCGACCTGGAAGACGGGGTTGAGGAAGTATATTTCCCCACGCCTGCGACATGTGGCCAACGCGGCTTGGTTCGCCATTTGGTTGACGGTTGTGGGAGGGCCGACTATAGGCCAAGATTATGCGAGGTGTGCATATGTGATTTTAGAACCACTGCCAGTAACACCGTTGAGACTTCTCGGATTTGGAGTCAAGGGAGATCCGTGGTGGCTTTACGACGGGTTGGGGGTGTATTGGCATTCTGGGAAGAGCATTTGGAGTAGCGGATTGGCGGTGTAAGAGGAATCTGGTCGATCATAGCATTCGTAGAATTAGCGCGTACCTAGCATTGCATCTTATACACATTCAGAACAATATTGGAATGTCTATGAAAATGAAGTTGCCGGCCAGCCCCCTTGCCGGCCATACCTCAATCCAATTCGGCAACGTAGAAGTAGAGAGATTTGTCATTGCAATGCTCTACATATACTTTTCCCCAGGTTAAAGTTGAAACTCGTAAAGTAGGGACTTAAAAGTAGCCGCAGGAATTTTTCCGCCTCTTGAGCATTGTGGATGGGTTTTGGATGCGCCTTTTTCGGCCGTTTGCCCGTTCAGCCTGCTTTGTGGTCTCCTTTGTCGCCTTTTCTATAGCCTCAAAAATTTGATCGATATCTGCAAATCGTTGGTTCTGGTCCACAAGTATTCTCTTGCATTTTTTATCCTGTGCACCACCCATATCTTCTAGTCCATGGGTATTTTCAAGCGTCGATTTTCCGCCTTGAGCGCAGCGATTTCAGCGTTCTTTTCCACCCCTAAACCCCCTTTCCGTCAATTCTTCGAATTTTTGGTCGAAAACTTCTTTTGGGCCCTTGGGAGTATGGAAAATTGGTATATCAGTTGGTTCCGGTGTAGTACAGCGTGTATTGGGTGTAGAAATAGAGTGGTTCTTGTTCAATTTGGTGCTCTGTAATGCTTTATATATATTTAGGGGATACAGTCACGTTCCACGATATCCTGCACGAATATTCTGTAAAATCAAGCCGTCCGCTCCAGTTCTGCTATAGATATCAATGAAATTATACTTTTTAGTAGGGGTACCATCATCAAGGGAGCTTAGGAGGCTCAGTATCTGATTATACTTGGTTTTGATAGGGAAGAAACACGCGACAGCAAGGGGCTGAAGAACATGGGAGCAATTGGGGGGAGGAAAAGGGGGAAAACTGTTATTTTTACCGAGCTTCATGATTCAACTGCGACTTGAGACCCGTGGCCATCGCACAGTAGTAATCTCCATTCATCGTGGCCGGGACTGTCAGGACTGATTTCTGGCAAGAATTTTTGTTGAAGCCAACGCTGTCCAATTTCTTTCGAAGTCCAGGCATTCTCCGATACCGTGAAGTGACAATTCTACAAGCTCTTGATTGAAGGGGGAAACTACGTAGTTTGAAGGTTTGCGCCTTTGAAGATAATGAGGCGAGAGATACGTTGACCTTCCCGAGCTTGCTTCAACAATAGAAACCCATTCGCGGTCTCTAGGGGTTTTGACATATGTACGCTTCTTCTTTGGGCCTGTAGAGGCCCCTATTATCCTCCCATTTGTTCCTATACCCAGAATTATACTATGTTCATCGGAATTTCACCGGCTGGAGGGCTTAATCTTGTAGTCTTCGCAGATGCGTCGATATGGGTCGAGAAAACTTGAAATAACTTCTGTTGTTGCTCCATTTGCACGCGGAGCCTCCAGAGCCGTCCCTGCCCTGCTGTTTACTTGGGGATTACGGCGAAGGAATTTTTCGATCCAATGGTTTCTGCAAGGGGAATTGTCTCCATTTTCGCGGGCGATGCATTCCGCCATTTGCCCCCCCTGGCGTGAGAAGGGGCTCGACTCGCGCGGTCTTTTTCGACGATCCAGTCCACATAATATGTCTCTTGAATAGGAGATAATTTCTGTGCATTCTGGGAGCTCTCTTCGCGGGTTGGACAGCCTTCGAGTTGATCCTGAATGGTGCTTATGGGAATTTGATATACCTCTGACGCGGCGCGTAGAGAACGAAATTTTCTATCGGAAAAATAATTCAGAGTATTTTTGAGAGCCTCTACTATATTCAGGCATTCTGACAAGAATAACAGGCGTTTCGCTGATGGTCTCATTAGTTTAAAACTATCTGCAGATCTACATATCGCTATTTTCCAAGTGGCCGGTAGGAGCGCTGGCTGACAAAAAGGAAGAATTGAAAGCTGAGAAGGAGCGCCCTTTATGAAAAGATTAGGCTTCAGAAACGCAATCGTCATGGGATCATCATATTCGCTTAGAGGAAGAGAAGCAAACGAGAGTGATTGTCAGGGGAAATGATGCATAGGGGTAGCCGTTTGCTCGCAAGAATGGTGGTATGTAGAATCGTCCAGGTGGGATGATGAATATCGAGATAAAGGATCAATCACATTCCCAGGGGACCAGCGTATGAGAGAGTGGGCCGTGATCCGCACTCTTTCGGTGGCGAAGTGCTTCAAGTGACATCGAACTGGAAATCAATGAAGATGGAACTGAAGTAGTCCCGGGATACCAATAGGGGCTTCGGTTGATCGTGTCTATTGTCCACCATTTCTAGCTACGCACCTAATCGATATCGACTCATTACACATTCAACCTGCTCGCAGGCGCGGTCATGAACGGAAATATATTTACAGAACCGCGGACCCAATCCGCTATCAGAACGCGCGCGCATGCCGGAGAGAGACCCAAGAGGAACGCAATGCTAGACGGGACCAAATGAAATAGGCCGTGAAACGTAGAGGTTGCTCGCGTTGTCGCTTCAGCGGGTAGGTGGATCGAAAACGTCGCCGGAAGGACACCAAGGAAACGCCCATGGAATGAAAGGCTTGTCGGCCTCGAGGAAACTCCAAAGTCCCCCAAAGCCCAACTAGACTCCAAGAACACCAAGCAAGACTCCCGCGATGTGATCCGCCACCGGAAATTGAACACATGCAACATCATGACCATCCATACACCTCTTCTCACCCCCCGTGCTTTTCCCTTTCCTGATCCTTCAATCGCTGCCTCTCCTCCCGGATCAAATCCCACCGCGCCTTCTCCCGCGCGATCTCCTCCTCACTCCACCCCACGCGCTCCATGTTCAGATCGCTCCGCAACACGTAGCTCTCGAATGACAGTGCCTGCCACTCCTCGCCGCGCTTCCCGTCCTTATATAAGCTCGGGGTGAAATCCTGCACGCTCGCCCAGCCCTTGAACAGCTTGCGCCAGTAGCACGCCTGCGCGGCAGGAGTAAGGTATTTATCACGGAAATCCCTTACTGAGTTGTCGGCGATGCGGCGCGCCTCTTTCGGACGGTCCAGCAGCGCTTGGATCTTCGGCTCGAGGTCGGAGAAATCGCGCTCCACCAGCACGAAGTTCTGGTCGGGCCCTTCCGGGATGAGGAGGTGGTGGTGCGCCTCGGTCCACTCCCAGCGGTGCAGGAAGGGGACGGAGTGGCAGTTCTGCAGGTATTTAAGGCGGCCGCTGTAGCTGCGGCCCTCGGTGTGGACGACGAAGCGGTAGCGACAGTGGGTGGGCATGGAGATGATGCGGGACTGCAGTTCGGAGGCGTTGAGCCAGTTGAGCTCGAGCACGTCGGCCCACGGTGGGTTGGGGGCGGTTACGCGGAGGAGGGAGTCGCGCACGTCGTTGAGGTTGGCGCCGCGCCAGATGAGGAGGGGGAGTTTGGCGTCGAAAGAGCGGTCACCGGAGGTCGGAGAGAAGAAGTCGCGGGGGGAGAGCGGGGAGGGGGCGGCGGGGACGACGGGGGAGGAATTATTGTCGTCGCGGGTGTGGAGGGGTCCGGGCTGTGCGTTGGTTCCGATGGTGTGCAGGTCTTTGGGATTCGGGTTCGGTGCGCCTTTCCCGAGCTGGTATTCCAGGTCGCGGATCTTGGTGCGCACCTCGGAGTAGTCGCCCACGACGTCCATCGGCCAGCTCCAGTAGTTGTAGTCGGGCATGACCCATTGCTTCTTCTTGTGGGGGAGGCGCGAGAAGGCCCAGATGGTGGCGGTGTCGCCGTCCGGGTCGGCCATGTCGTCGACGGAGAAGGAGAACTCGATGTCCGGAATGGGGTCGGTGCAGGAGGAGATGGCGCGGTGGATTTGATGGAGGATGCCGAGGGAGCGGAAGTGGTAGTCGAGGTCGTTGACGCCTTTGGCTTCGACGATATAGAGCTGGAAAGGCGTTAGCAGAGGGTTCAATATCAAAAATAATATCTCGTCGCGATGTTGGAAGTGAATCTCTTCCCCGCGGCAGGAATAAATTCTCCGAACAAGGGTCAAGCTCCAGACCCCATCGCACGATATGGATGAGCGGACCAAACTTCGGTGTTCAGCCCTGAGGGTCCCACGTACCTGACGATTATATATCATAGCCCGCACCACCCCATCATCTCTCCAACCGATATCCACATCCTCCTCCTTCACCTTCCCGACATGCTTCCGTCGAAACTCCACGGCGCGATCGATCTCCGCCCAATATCCCGGGAAGGCGGCATCGCACTGCTCCTCGGTCAACCCGTAATTCCTCTCGTCCAAATCGGCGACAAACCGCCATCCATCGCCACCGCTGATGGTCTTCGGATGGTCGCGCAAGGGCACGGGTACGGAGACATAGGGGGTGGAGGAGTCGATGGGCGAGGAGGTCGGGAGGTGGAACAAGGTGAAGAAGATGAAGAGGGAGAAGAGGACGAGGACGACGAGGAGGCGGCGGGGGTGCTGTGTGCAGACGGCGAAGAAGGATTGGGTTCGCCTTAGGGTCGGGGAGTAGAGGGCAGAGGAGCGAGGGGATCGGAGATTCATGGTGGGAGTCGTGGTGCGATTAGGATGTGACGATCTCGGAGGGGAGCCAACGGTTGCTCGTCGGGGAAGATCCCGTTAGCAGTACATGGGCAGAGTATGAGGCGTTGATATGATGGAGGTTTCTTCGTCTCTGGTGTCGAGGCGTTGGAGAGTTGCCCTCGTCGAGGAATTCCTTCTAGGGAGTTCCTTCAAACGCGACAGCGGGTCCTGGATAAAATCCAACGCAGGAAAGTGGGAACAGGGAGGGAGGATGGATGTGCTCGGGTATGACAGCACTCGATACAATAATTCTAACGATGGACAATGTCGCGATGACCAGCCTTGCACTTCGTGGGATCCAGGTACTTCCGGTACTCAGGTATTCAGGTATTCAGGTATTTAGGTGTTTAGGTATTCAGGTATTCAAGTTTATCTCATTGCAAAAAGCAAATGGCAATGGAGGCGATTTGGGAGTAGTGTATCCGGTGGATCGGTTGCCATTTGCCAATTGCCATCCCTGAATTCGCGATCCGTCGCCACTCTCCCTCTCCCCCTTTGGTGGACGTGGAATGGAATGACATGGACTCGTGGTATGGCAAGGTCGCAATTATTATTATTAAAAGATATGAACAATGGGTTACATTATTGGTCACATTGGCTCTAGAATTCCTATCACCAAATGCCCTCGTGTCCGCTTTGGTTGGTCGAGGCCATTCAATCGCCGTGTCCCATGTCACATGCCGTCTGTATGCTGTGATCGGACGACGGCCAGAAACCGGTTTCGACGTTGATGTTGGACCACAACGCGGGCGCTAAGATTCTGGAATGAATCCTGCATCAATCCTGCATCCATCCTGCATCCTACTACGTCGTAATTCCTACCGGGTGTGCCTGTCACTTGGCCTGTCATTCGGCCCTTTGGATTTCGGCGTATTAGTACGTATATTTCTCCGGAATTGCAGATAGCGATTGTTAGGATTCGGCGGGAGGAACTGGGAAGAGATGAAATGGCCAATGGGATCCAGATCACCACCGACTCCCTGGCGATGATCAATGCGCTTGCTGTCATCCAGCATTCTACATACGCCCACAGCCCATAAATGATAGATGTTAAAACAGTCGGAATTCTAATTCATATGATGTACGGAATACCTGACCCAGCACGTTCATTTTTGTGATTGTGGAGAACCTCGCCACCTTGAAGAACCACCCGCCTCATGGAGTCGACGAATCACGAAATGGTGCCAGAAACATAGTTATTCACTCATTTCCTCCGGAGGATTCGAGTCTGTCCTGGGATTCGTTTTAATTTGCAAGTCACTAATTCGTAATTGCACGTAACTACGTACCACTCTCCGATCTCCGTGTAGGACCCTCCCACGCGGTGGACAAAAATCCTCGCATTGCCGAAGTGCACCCACCACCAATACTCTACAGGGGTCTTCCTCACCAAATCACCATCTGTACAGTCACTTATTATGAGTTAAAACCATGCCTGCGTTGTTGGATCTCCACGAAATTGACGGCACCACAGATACGTGATCTTTCCGTAGAACCCCTATGGGGCCGCCTTCGGGATGGATTATGAGGGTTTTCACGAAATGGGATCATATTAAAATGATGTGTATTAATTACTTGTAGAATGCATTAAATCCTACAGGTTTTGTGTGGGCGCGGGTGCACTTCGGTAATGCGAGGATTTCTGTCCACCGCGTGCCTCCGTTGGCGTCAACTGGACGCCTGGACGAGGACCTTCAAACGCCTAGACCATAATTACTCGACTCTTCACCGCGGACTTCCCATCGCCATCCGAAACGTTCTCTCCCCTTCCTCCAACAGGCGCCGCCTGCCTTCCAGATGATTCCGCATCTGCGTCATCTCGAACGGCTCGCCCGCGATGTACTCCAGCTCGTCGTCCGACAAGCCGGCGACCACGACGGCGGAGAACAGGTCGCGCGGGAGGGGCGCCACGAGGTGCCGCTCGACTACTTGCTTCGTGACCGCGCTGATGAAGTACTTGATCTCGTCCTGGTAGTACGCGATCTCGCAATCGAGCGCTTCCTCCGCCGCGTACTGGTCCATGTTCACGTTGTTGCGATTCTCGCGCAGCTTCTTTTTGAGCTGGACGGGGTCCACGAGGCGTTTTCGCGTCCACTGCAGGCACTGCTCGTCGTCGCCGATCTCGAAGTTTTGCACCGTGCTGTTGACGCTCTCCATCATGTCGCTATGCCATTTGTCCGTCTTCCGCATCTGCACTTCGGACACGTACTACGGATTGTACGAGATCAAATGCCCGCGATTATCCTTCAGCACCCGGCGCAACTCGTCCTTGGCGCTGTGCGACTGCTTACGGAGCCTCGGATCGACCTTGAGTGACCAGATCTTACTGGCGACATCTTCGGGGACTGTCGTACTAATCGTACCGTGCGTGAACTGAGCGCACGCCTTAGCCACATTCTCGACGTGGGCCATCGCGATCCTTCCCATGGCGTCGATATCTCCTAGAATAGTTGGTTGATGATCAAGGGGTTGAAGTTCCCGAAGGATATTTAGGACCCAACGTGTCCCTTCTTCCCAGTCCATGACCTTCGGGTTCAAGCCTAAGTAATCCGATTTCTGCTCGTCTTTCTTGTCCGCATCTTTCCTGTCTTTTGGTTCAACTGCGTATTTATGTCCGTATTCGTGCATCCGCCGTGCAAAATCATGGTTCAGGAATTGCACCAGCGCTCGCAGCCGCGTATGATTGTCTTGCGCGTCCACCGGCTTGTCGGTCGCGATGGTCGGGAAGAACGGATGCTCGTATTGGCCTTGCACGCCGCACTTCAGAATCTCGCTCGCCTCCGCGCCCACCGCCGTGAGGAACTGACGTTGCTCTCCAGGCGTGGTGCGCTTGACGCCCGCCTCCTTGAGCTTCTGCTGCACATCGGCCAACATCTGATCTAGTTCCCTCTTCAACGACGGGAGCTCGCGTTCGAGGTGGCGAACGAGCAGGTTGCTCAGCCGGATATAGAGTGAGTCGATGCCCAACTGGTCGCGAGGCAGGTCCTTATACGCTCCTTTGCTGAAAAAGTTCATCTCGACCTCATTCCGTTCCCGGAGCGTCATGACCTCTCTGTCGGCGCGGTTCTTCACCATGTGCCGCCCGAGCCCGAAGTAGATATCCTTATTCGCTGCCAGGTCCAGCCACGCCCGCTCGTTGTCCGATCCCGCGCGAAGAAAGCCAGGCTTCGTGATGATCCCCAGCGTGTGGCTGCCCTTCGGGTCCACCAGGCGCGCTTTCTTGAGGATGATCTGGCCCGCATAGTCGTTCTCGGCGGAAATGACGGCTAGAATGATCGTGCGTGGGTTGGCGATGTATTCGTCGACGAGGTCGTGGATCAATTGGACATCCGTTTCGCTCTGCGATTTGTTGCCGGAGTGGATGAGCCCCGGGAGGTCGACGAGCGTCAGCTGGGGATATCCCGGTCCGCTGATCTCGATGCTGAGCACGTCGCGCGCGAACGCTTGCTTGTTCGCCCCGTCCTCGTCGAGCAGCCCCATCGCGACGGTCGCCTCGTGGATCAGCTCCGGCAGCTCGGAGAAGTTACTGATGGAGAGCTCGAACCGCTTCAGTCGATCCTGCTCGTCCGTCGAGCGGTTCTTGTCGGGGATGATCTTCGTGGTGATCGACTCGGCGCTCGCCCGCCGCATCACGATCTCGGTGGCGAACTGGGTTCAGAGGTTCTCCTTGCGGGGGAAGTCGATGCCGGTGACCGCTTCGAGGACCGAGCTCTTCCCGCTGGACTGGTCGCCGCAGACGACGAGTTGGGGGAGCTGGAGGATTGTGCTGAGCCCGTTGCGGCGGAGCCGGTCGACCACGTCCATGATCTTTCGCTGTTTGTTGCTTTGTAAGCCATCGAGAGACTCGTTGCGCAAGCCATCTCCGGAGCCGGTGACTACGTTGGTGATGTTCTCCATTGCGGCAGATTTTATTGGATGAGAGAACAGGAAACCAAGCATGCGATCACGGTAGGATTTATATGATCTGGGGAATCCAGAATCGACTGGCGAAATCTAGACGGTTGGGCATATGAAAGAAGACAGGGAAGGACTCAGGCATGCAGATATAGGTTTCTTTGGGCCATCAAAGCACTTAATCACCATTGATACAGTGTTCTCAGCAAATAATAACACAATTGGCATTGGGGGGTATTTGCAGCTCTCATACAATAAGAAGTAATGTCGCTACAGATATAATAAATCCATATCACACGCTCCCTAGACATCTCGCCTGGATTTATGTTAGCCGATGCACATCTTCAAAAAAATGACCAACCATCTTACCAGGTCATCCCGCCCTTTTCGACATACGGGGTCTTCACCGCATTCTGATCTCCAAACGGATCATCGTCATCCACCTCATCTTCCGGCTCCGGTTCCGGTCGATACTGTGATATCCGATGCTTACTCGCGGCACTCGGAATCGGCGGCGGCATCGACATTGACGACGGCCTGGATTGCCTCGCTGGCGGCTGTTCCTGCATGCTCAACCGCGAGAACCCCTCATTGACACCCCCCCCACGAGCGGGTTCATGGATAAACTCCGAACGCGCTTCCTGCAATGCCTCATTGTCGCTGTCACTATCATCCTCCATGCTCTTGTCGAGCACCTCGAACGCCATCAGCGCCTTGACGAGCTCGTCGTTCGCACTGAGTAGGCTGCCGATGTACTGCTCAGACTCGACGAGTTGGATGTAGCGTAGGATCTGGCGGCGGAGGCGCTTGCAGGTATCGAAGCGTTTCATGACTTCGGGGTTCTCGCTGACACGCTGGGATTCGCGGTTGATGAGCTTGAGGGCGTTGACGAGGTTGGTACTGGCGACAGAGGCGCTGGCGATGGTTTCGAGGATCTGATGCCGTTCTTTCTCGAGGTTGAAGGGCTTCGCTTTGCTCTTTTTGTCTTTGGAGGATCGGAAGATGGACGAGCTTGGGGGTGTGGTATTTCCTAGTGATATTGGAGCGGTTGAAGAAGACGCTCGAGAATGACCAGCGTAGACAGTAGCTGACGACGTCCCCCTTGAGCGTGTGGCTGTCGGTGATGGCGGTTGCTCGTGCGTGTCTGCTTCCGTCTCACGAACCACTCTGGATTGTTGAGGCTGAGGTCGCCTCGTTTTCGGGAGCTGCTTATACAATGATGCAATTCCCTGTAGGCCCTGTTTGTTCTTATACCCAGCTGCCCATTGGCGGAACAGGACGTTGCATTTCTGCCGGACCTCAGCATCAACCATATCATCTTGTGACACAATACGGAGACGCTCGAGAAGCGGTTCATCGGCAAATGTCCTCTGAAACCCCTTACCGGCATTTTGGATCAACGCGTCCAATATGGTGAGAGCACGTAGCTGCTTGTGTGGACTTCCATACTTCCTGAATATCGTAAGCCAGGCTCTTCAAATATGCCAGAAGACTCACAGTTTTTTCCGAATGGCTCTCGCTGCCTCTGTTGGACCTGTGTCCTGGATCCTAATCACTTCCACCAAGTCCACGATGCCCGCCAGATCATGTTCCTCGTATGCCTCGCTGGTCAACCGTTCTATTTGGACGGTGATGGCCGAATACGGCTTCTTCTGTTTAAGAATACATGAGAACAGTTTCCGAAAAATATAAACGGTGCACATGATTTTGGAGAAATGGGGCCTGGCAACAAGGATCGACAACGACTTAAGAAAGGACAGAATACAATAGGACTGGTCATGATTGCAGCCAAAGCCCAGATTTTATACATTTCTGCAACTCAAGAGACATATAACCGCTCAAGGCAACGGGGCGATCTGTGCCCTGGATGGAGTGATGGGAGTTATCAACAAATGTCACTGACTTACCGATCCACTGAACATGGTCGAAAAGATGAAGCCTTAAGTCGGCTCCCACTCACTTCGTAAGTGAGATTGCGACGCCGCGCCTTGGGTATCTCTCCTTAAACTGGCGAACACGTCGGGTTTCAGGGTCTGATACCTTCACGTGCAGAGGGTCGGAGGGAGAGATGAACGAGACCGGAGTAACAAAGGGAGGATAACTTAAAATGCGTTCATCGAGATCGGGGTTGCGGGTATGGCGAAGATTGCTCTTATCGCTGGTATTAAGAAAATAACCCTCTCTATCATAGAGTATGCGCGTGACGAGCAAGCTGATGAGTGACCAAGTAACACCCTTGGCAAATGAATGGGTGAAGGTGGGAACAATAGGAAGGAGAATCAGCCAATGCGGCTTGAGCTATTCAGCTCTATTGTCCTCGTCCAGTGACCTGATCAACCTCGTCAACTCTTTCTAGCGAATATCTGGATATGAAACGATTGACAAGAAGCAGATGAATCCCGAAGACGGCGAAGAGTAGTCGTGAGGAAACCGAACAACGTTACGACATCATCCGTGGATCCGCTAAACCCCACGCTGCGTCTATTGTTCCTGCCGTCCGCTGAATAATGAGGATGGTTATTTCTTGGCCCTGCGATTCAAATATTTGCTTGACAACAATGAGACTGACAATTCGCAATGCAGAGATGAAGTGTGTCTCCATTACCCGAGAACGAGTTGTATCATCGCGATATGATGTGTCACGATGATGATGATATCCCGTGACTCGATGCGGGCTCGCGTCCACGAGGGTTGCGACTTCCTGTTTTGGGTTCCTTCCTCGTTACCAAGGACCGAAGACAATCCAAACTCCCAGCCAATTCCGGTTTGGATCTTTCATGAGTTCAACACGACCCTCTTCAATCGCTTTCAGTCTTCTGATGATGGAGTAATATCTCTCTGTAATTTTTTCCAAGTCTATCGTTCACTGCATCCGAGCTGTCCATATCTGTGTTTCGGTACATCTGAGTCGCGCACCTAGTCAAGCAGAGAGCGTTATGAGTCCTGTGGTAGAGCTAATCCGATAACGGTTGCACGCCGAAACGAAGATACGATACGATTTTTCCAGGAAATGGAGCATTCGGAAGAGCAAGGAGTCGATCCGTTTACGAGGTAGGCATACAATGTTCAACCCTTTTTGTGTTCATTGCTGATTAAATACAGCCAGACCCTGTGTGCCTCGAACTTCGGCTGGACCGCAATCAATGGCAACAGATCTCCGCCTCCATCGGGGCCTCCTCAATCATACGCTCCTGTCGACCCTGTAGACATCAATGTTCACGCCGTAAAGAAGCGCAAGGGCAAGCAGGATGCATACAAGTTTCAGCCAAAGCGTAGCAGAGCAGTATCCGGAAAGGCGACCGCGAACAATAGAGCCTCGGGCTATAGTCCCACCGCTTTGCCACCCGAACTCATGAACGGATCTCCATTACAACAATTTGCAGCGCCAGCTCTCTCTGAGACGACGCTGAGTAGACTGCAAAACTTCCGTTACCCTGATCCAGCCGATCATGCAACCCCACAGTCTGACTTCAATGGAAATGTTTCGACTCAGACGTCTACTATTCAGTCTCAGCTGATTCCCGCAATACCAATCGTCAATAGAGCTGAATATCCGAATGCCGAACAGATCCACTCAATCAACGAACAGGGCAGTCAGCAACCAAGTCAGCACCTCGATAGACCATCCGACTACTCCGATGCCATTGACGTCCAAGATTGCCATCCGTCCACAGACGAGTACGGTGACGTACTTCTTGACGATGATGACCTGGTACCGATTGATGTCTACGCGGAATCCATGAAGAAACATACTCCCAGCACCACCAAGAGCGCGAAGCCTCTGATGACACCAGTGGCTACCGAACAGGTACCCAGCTCGGATGCAAACAGCAGACCAGGCCCAGAACCGTCCTCTACCATTTCCAGGGACCCATATGACTTCAACTTCGACGATCTAGACGACTTATCCCCGCTTACCACTGACACGACCCCCGAAAAATCCAATCCTACGAACGGCGGAATCCTATCCCACGACCCTGATCCTCACCAGCCTATCCCTCAAGCAATCCTCACCAGTGCTCCAAATCTCCCCATCCCACTCTTCGCCCGCCCCCGGTTCCCTCCGCCCGTCCGCGACCGCTCACCCATCATCGGCATCACTAATGCCACCCGGCTCCACGTGTGCTTCCGCATCGGCGAGGCGCTCAATACGGGGTGTGCGGCGGCGCGGAACGGCCAGGACGTGCTGATCGAGCTGTACGCGCGGGTGGCATGGTCGACTCGGGATGAGAGCGCCGGGAAGCAGCACTTTGAACTATACGATGCGTGGCATGATCGGCCGCCGCACTTGCAAGGGGTACATGAGCTGTGGAATCAGAGTCGGGGGTGGGAGAAGGAGTGTGGGGAGTTTCTGGAGGAGCGGAGGACGACTGAGAGGGGGTTGAAGCTGTGCCGCTGCGTGGGCAAGATTCGGAGGGATCTTGTGATGAATCAGTGGGTACTGCAGATGCTGAATGTTAGGGTCGCTTTGTGGGAGGAGGTGGAGTATATGAGGGGAGTTGTGTGTATTTGATGCAGCGAGGAGTTACGAAGGAGATCTAATGTGGACGACAGACCATGGTGCGCTGAACGAGGTGTGGAATTGGGAGCAACATGATATTTCCATACCATTCACGGAGGAGCACATATGGCGGAGTATGACTTATGGGACAGTATAACTACCTTATGAGTGATACTGTAATCAATTCTAGCCATGTCTAGCCTTCTATTACATGGTAGTGTGGCTAGGCATGAAGATTGATGAACATAAAGCTGAAGAGGCACAAAGGCAACAAGGCAGCACAAAGGAAACGCGAACGCCAAGGATATTTAGTATGGTGGGGTAATGAAGTGGGTACTAACCAAAGAGGGAATAGCGTTAAAATATGGCCAATTAAAATGAACAGAATGTTTCCGCCCGATGGCGCCAACCAATGGGTTCAAGCAGGACCTGGAGGCTTGACCTCACCAGTGCCGCATCACCATCTCGATATCGCATGTCTTGTGCGTCCAAAGAGTTCCTCAACCCTTTTCCTGCAAGTCTCCTCCAATTCTGGCTCAATCAGCATCTCGAAATGATACTTGCCAATATGTACCCCCTTTATTCCCAGGATCCCACTCTCCAGCCTGGTGTCTTTGTCTAGCCGCCCTCCCGATACAAACATACGAACAGCTGCAGTACCTATATCATGAAGCCCGCTCCAAGAGATACAAAGCAGGACTCCGTTCCTTTCTCTGCATTGGGAGTTATGCTGGAGCGTGGATTGTCCAACTCTTTCCCACCACCAGACCACAATTCCCAAACATCCAGCGCGTTGAGCGCTGCTGGTCCGCACTCTGGTGAACAGCTGGTTTGTACACCAACCAAGACACGATCCCTATCCGATTCTACCCCGAAGTTGATCCCTTCGCCCGATATCCGCGAGGCCAAATCCTCCAAGGATGACAACCATATTCATGCTGACCCAAAGACCCCGCGCCGACCAAACTTCCACCAACGCGGCTTGTCATTGCAGATGCCGCCGAGAGAAGTGTTCAGCACCGGTCTATCAGTGAATCGGGCACCGCTCTCCCCACCACTACATCATCCTCGAGGCCCGTACGGATCTCCATCACATCAAGTTCTTCCTCGTCACTCACGGGGCCTGGATTTTGCTCGTGCGTGCACCAATCTTCATCATTCTACCCTCGCAGAGTCATCGCCCGACTCCTCACCTACCATCACACAGAAGGGCATGATGATTCCCAACCAACGCCGATCAGCGTTTACAAGCGGATTCGATTCGCACAGCATGGGAAGCAATGCATGGTCACAGCATGGCGATAAAATGGCTGCGACCAGCTCACTTGGAAGCATCGCCATGTTGGATGATGAGAGCTCCTCCAACAGTGATGATGACATCGATCCGATGGACCATGACGAAACCGACGACATGATCATTTCCACCCCGCAGGCCATGAAATCAAACAACGCCAGTGCATCCACTCCTTTCGCTCCATCCACAGCAAACCCATTCGGAAACAGCTTCGCCGGAGGGTCCGCTGGATTCATGAACTATCAACGAGCACGATTGCGACGCCACCGCAGTCGAAAGAGCTCGTCCAGTGCAAGCATGAGCGGACACAGCTCCCTCGCCAGCCCCGCCCCTGCATCCCCTCCAAACGGAAAAGCGTCGGAAAGCAACGGTGGATATTTTGCGCGAGAAGTGGCCATGCGGAACGCGGGATCCCGGCGAGAAAGCCTGAGCTTCCATACGAACGATCTTCACATTTCTTCAGGTAACGACAGCGGCGATGAAGCGGGTCGACCGCCTCCAGGAACACCGGGCGTGGTGAGACGTGCTGTGACGCGGCGAGGTAACCTCTTGGTTCGTTTACCAAACAACAATGTATCCGTTTCGAACCATCCTAACAAAAACTTCACAGCCAAAAACACGTGCATTCGGTCGCATTAAAGATGACCTCATCGCCGAAACCCACCCCCTTGATGCCGATATCCGCCGTGAAGCCGAAGTTATCCGTCAAGTCCGCGAAAGCGACGGTGACATGATCCGCCCTTCCAGCTCTGCCGGTCACTCGAACTCGGACACTCTCACCGGCATGCTAGGAGACGACCGCATGCCAGCCGACCACCCCGGCGGTGCCAAAGGGCTTTTCGGAGCCTTCCCACCCGCCTTCGGCAGCCGCGAATTCTGGAACACCTTCGAGCCGCTCCCATCGAACGGCACGGGCACGTCTCCCAACGACACAAATGGCAACGGCAGCCGGCAGCCCGGACCGCCACCACTCTTCCCCCGCGGCTCCGCAATGAGCGACGACATCAGCATGGGCCCCTCCAGCCCCTCGATCTCGGCCTCTAGCCGCTCCGCCTCGCTCTTCTCCTCCACCTCGCACTCCCACTCAACCTCGCACCACGGCAACCTCTCCCTCGCCCTCTCCCTCGCTCAGCAAACCACTCCGCCGAACCTCACCGCCGTTGCCAACCCATTCGACGCCCCCGCCACCAACGCCCACGCCCACGCTGCGAGCCACTCCCGCGCCACCACTCCGCAACCCCCGAACTCGCTCCACTTTCCGCCATCGGCAGCTGACGGCATCCGTAAAGCCTCCAAGCGACGTCGCGACGATGAGTTCGACGGCATGAGCCTTAAGCGTCGCGCCGTAAGCCCGGGATTGTCCGTGCAGAATAGCCCGGTGCTGAGCCAGAGTCCGGGGAGCGGAGGAGGTGGCGCTGGGCCTTTGTGGGGGACGGCGGGTGGGTCGGCGGGGGCGTTTGGGAAGCGGAGTAGGGAGGGCAGCGTGGTGCCGGGGAGTGGAAATGGGAATGGGAATGGAAATGGGAATGGTGTGATGGGGACGCCGGGGATGGGGCCGAAGAGGGTGGGGTTGCAGGGGATGACGGATACGAGTGATGGATTGATGAAGATGAGTATCGAGTGAGTTCGAAGCTTTCGAAAGAGGAAACAAGTCGAGGAGGTAGGGATTGGAGGAGTGTTGTTGTGTAGGATGGTGTACTCTTTGCTGGCGTTTCGGAGGACAACTCCCGAACTTGTGGTTGATATGCGTGGGACTTTTGCGTACTTAGCGATGGCGCCTTTTCGGATGGGTCCAATCTGGCAGGGTCGGCGAACCTGGAATGGACACTGCTACCGGCAGTATAATTGGGGATTCGGAGTGCTCTGGAGCCATTGGGATCGGAAATTCCCTGTACCTACCTTTGTGAACCGACATGCGGGTCTACTTCGATCCTTTGTATTTATGATTCGCCTACTCATTTTAGGTACGTGGAATGATCAATTGAACAAACCATTCTCTAGTAGGACAATTGAGCGTTTTAAAGACGTAGATGGATATTTCGGGGGACATCAAAGGCGAAGGGTCCCGACTTCTTCCGCCCTAGATGGAGGATTGTATCGTTAGGGACTTGGGGAGGAGTTCGTCTAGAATCTTATAAAACAATATATTTAAACGGGAGGAAAGGATTAGTGGCTGCTGTATTCCTTACAGGACTATGATATATAGAAACAATGAAATTGAACAGTAGCCCGCAGGGTTAAAGCAAAATAGTAACCTGACACCACCATGGTATTTTATGTGTTAGACATCCGAGTAGCCGCTCCCTCTATTCCCTCCAGAAGCCCACCTTCTCTTACCAAAACACCAGCTCAATACAGCCCCAACCTACCCAAAGTCCATCTTACACATGAGAACCACGGCAAAAAAAAGGCAAAAAAGAAATGAATAGGGGGTGTACCGCGAATCGAACGCGGGACCTCTTGCATGTTTTGAAGTGTTGACTTCCCTAAGCAAGAATCATACCTCTAGACCATACACCCGCTGATGAAATGTTTTCCGTCTTTTGAGGTGACATTGTGCGCACTAAAACAAAATTAGGTGGGTCCACCTGCTAGCAAATCTCGAGACATTAATGCACGACGTAAATCACCATCAATCTTGAATCAAGTGTATTCAGAATTCGGGCTCGGATGCTAGTGAAAGCCGACTTTGATATTGGAGATTTGATGGCTTCGGTTCCTCATTTCAACACGCCTTTGTGCCTAAGACCAGGTATTATGCTATCGGAATCATATTTCCCGCTAACTGGTTAGTTACAGGGTTTCAATATTAGGTCCTCTTGCTGCTTCATTACTATTGTCCTCGTTGTCGTTTTCATTATTGTTCTCTTCCTCATCATTGTCTTCAACACTGAGTCTGCTGCATGGGTGCACTCGCTCGAATCGAGAGGAATTATATCTGAGATTCAACTGAGATTCCGGCTGTCCAATCCAAACCTTGGCGATCATGATCAATAGCATATCAACGACCCTCGAAATATGCTGATCATCCTCATCCCTCTCCAGACCGAAACTGAGTCGCACATTGCGAGTCAACGGTTTTACCATGCTTCCCATTGGACGAAGGCTCGGAGTTGAGGCTTTCCGCCCCGGAGGACGGAACAGAACAGAATCTGAACCCCTCTTCCCCGCAACCCGCTAATACGTTATGTGGGAATAGGGGACCATTGCCCCGGATTCGAGACCAGACCAGACTCGACGGTCTAGTGAGGCACCAACATGTGCAATTGCGCATTCATACTTTCTCAGCCATCTTGGGAGAGTTCGACTCAGGACGAGGCTAAGGCACCTCGGACCACATTCTCCGGCTATGATTGAATCTTGCATCTGACTCGACAACTGACAAGCCCTACCGTGATTCAACTATTTCTATGCACAATATATTACCCCGCTATCCACTGCCGTCCACCATGTCTTAAGACTTCAGGTTTTGGAACTTGCGAGTTCTGTCGTTCGGAACCAATTCGTATTTTATTGACAATCAAGTACTTCATAAGCCTTCTCTTGATCTCATCTCGTTGAACGGGTTTGTCCAGGACCTTCACAATGGCGCCAGCTTTGGTGACCTTGCTGGAAAGCAAGCCGCTCATTGCAGCGCTTGGTTTGGCAACGCACGCAGCACTTGCTCAAGGAGAGCCAGACGCTTCGATATGGATCCTGATTCTGCTCGGCCAATCCGTTTATGCGGCGTTGAATTTTGCCCTCATCTCTGCTGGCAGCGTCAATACCGTGTTCGATGCCTTTGTCGTGACCACCACCGCCTTTACCGTCTATTTTGCGACGATCTTTACGAGCATAGTGATTTATCGATTCTTCTTCCACCGTCTTCGTCATGTAAGTTTTTCCTTGCCAAATCACGACGTGCAAAGCTTATCTGTCTAGTACCCGGGTCCCCTCCTAGCCAAGGTCACTAAGTTCTATTCCTTCTACCTCACGTGGGGAAAGGTCCGATACTTCGCCGAGGTCGAGAAACTCCACAAGCAGTACGGTGACTACATCCGTCTTGGGCCTCGCGAGCTATCAATCGCCGATGTCGACGCCGTCCCAGTCGTCCACGGCGCCTTGAGCAAATGCACCAAGGGGCCGTGGTACCAGGGCGGGCACCATATCGAAGGCTCCTCGCTCCACACCTGCCGCGATAAGAAGGAGCATCGAGATCGCCGCCGGATCTGGGATCGCGGATTCAACGCCAAGGCCCTCAGAGACTACGAGCCACGCGTGATGCGCCACACCACGCTTCTGATGGATCAGCTGAAGGAGCGTGCGGGGAAAACGCTGCGATTCTCCGACTGGGTGAACTTTTACTCCTTCGATGTCATGGGTGATATCGGGTTCAGCCGCAGTTTTGGTATGCTCGAGAAGGGAAAGGAGGATCAGGTGATTAAGGATCTGCATGGCTCGATGGAGCCACTGGGCATTTTCCGAGACATTGCATGGTTCACTAACCTGTTATTGCGGTTGCCGGTGATTCAAAAGACTCTGAAAGACTTTATGAAATGGACTTCACATGTCTTGAAGGATCGCAAAAAGGTCAGTTACCGGGCCACATCTTTCCCAGATTATACTGATTCAAAGGATCACAGGTCACTCCTGATAAGCCAGATATCTTTAGCTGGCTCCTGGATCCGACCGAGGAAGAGATCCCTCTGCATCTGAATGCAGATACCCGATTGGTCATCGTTGCTGGCAGGTAAGTATATCCCCGGACACCGCACTGCCACCGTCCTAACTCTCACAGTGATACTACTGCATCCACCCTGACGTGGCTCATGTACGAACTCTGCAAGCACCCCGACCAGCTCCACAAGCTCCAGGCCGAAATCGACCGTGTCGCCGGCGAAAAGACCTTCCTCACCTGCGAAGACGTCGAGAACTCCCCGCTCCTCGACGGCTACATTAGCGAAGCCCTCCGTCTCCACCCGGCCGTCCCCTCCGGTGTGCAGCGCGAGACACCCCCCGAGGGTATCCACATCAAGGACAAATTCATCCCTGGCAACACGATCATCTGGATGCCCGTGCACACGATTCAGCGGGACGCGCGGTACTTCCCCAAGCCGCTGGAGTTCATGCCGGAGCGGTGGACCACAAAGCCGGAGTACGTGGTGGACAAGCGGGCGTTCCTGACGTTCAGCACGGGACCGTACAAGTGCATCGGGGAGAAGTTGGCGATGATGGAGATGCGCGCGGTCATGGCGAACATTATGAGGAACTTTGACGTGAAGTTCGCGCCGAGCGAGGATTGTGATGCGATTGAGAATCAGACGAAAGATACGTTTACGTTGACGATGGGGAAGTTGGATGTGGTGATGACGCTGAGGGGGAAATGAAAGACGAGTTGGAGGCGTGAGGGGTGTTTTGATATCCGAGATGGTGATGCTTGGTTGTTACCTGGCTGGGAAATGCTGTGTTTGGACTTGGATACGACCAGATTCTTGAATCTACAGGCTGGACGAAGTATTTACTTCGTAATAGTTCTTACTGCTCAAGGAGGTACAGTTTCGTAAACACCCCGTTCTCTCCGATAGCAAGACTGTGCTATATTTGGATATACGGTCTACCATCCTGAGCATAATGCCACTCGCTTTCTACGCAGGCCACTCCTCCAATTCCGGCTAGAGGCATCATGCAGGCACCCTGGTCCCGAAGCTAAACGGAACATTAAATATCAATGATATGGGGGGCAAGATCGGCAACCAGCTCGGGGGGCCGACTCAAGCTACAAGCCTACATGTACATTCTCCCCAAATCGTCGCTCCACCGTGCTACTTGGCTAATAAGCCGTGTATACAGTACAGGTCCATGTGTCATTCGATCCCGTGCATGCATCTTAGCAGGCTTTCAACAACCCGATATACCTGTGGCTCGGCGTCCTTGTCTGAAAGCCGGACAGCGCATCGAAGCCGATCTGGCCATCACCACACTTCCATCGTCCACGGCTGTTGGATTGGGGACTTTCCATTGTGCTTTTCAACCGCCCTAGGCGAATATTGAAGTATACGGAACAGTTGCGAATTCCGATTGGACAATGCTCTGTCACCTAATGATCGTGTGATTCTTCCTGTCAACTGTGCTGCTGTCCATGGACTACTGCATGCCTACTTACTTGACGGGCACTAGGAGAATATTGTGCTTGTTGTGGCTTGTCGGCATGGTATGTTTAACGGGAGGAAATGCTTGGCGATTGGCCAGCTTCCATCGTCCCTGACATCAGTCCTGTCCGGTTCTCACATCACGGGAGGAGTGAGTCTTGCCGGTACTATGGATACGACTCCGTGTTATCCTATGTTGCAGACCATTTGGGTCGACATCTGCTTCCCGTTCTTCTTGGATTTCGATATTCTGATGTAACACTCAAAGTATTCAGTCTTCATTGCGGCCCACCTTTCCAGAGAATCACACCAATCAGTTTTGACCTGCCTGCCACTGCAATTTCTTCATTACGAGAATCAGGACCCCCTTGACAAGGCTATTTGCTCCAAATCGCAAAAAGTCTCCTTAAAAAATTGGATCTTGTCAGTCTGGGCGATATTTCCCACGTCACACAACCAGTTGTGCCGCCAATAATTTGCTTCAACGATACATCCAGCATGAGGCTATCTTACTGACATCTAACGGCAACTTCCGCTATCTTCAACTTCATCCGGAGATACTCACATTCAGTTCTTCCAGTCTGCTGGAACTATTCTAATTTCGTCTAAGCGTCTTATACTTTCCTCCGTCCTTGATTCAGTGAATTCGGTTACCCCGGTTTCGCCAAAACACGCATGAAGGCATCGTCGAGATGCAGTCCTGCAGAAACAGCTTTTGACGCTGACATGTATTGATTGACCAGGAACTACCCCATACGCTATCGAGTCCTGCGTATCGCTTGCATCGAATTGCTAATCGATCTGCAAGTTTTAGTGTGGCCGAATTTCAGCAACGTCTATGGAGCTAGGCCAAGGAATGCATGGTCCATTTTGCATGACGCAGGGAGTCGGTGATTATATTCAGCACGGGGTTAGGCAGCCAAGTCTCCTGGAAATGACTTGTCAATCTTTCTGCCAAGACATACCACGCTCTTTCTGATGGTTTGATGCTTCTACATCGACTACTTCATCCGATGAGAATATGCCAAAGCCTGGACAGCAGGACCGAAAACATTGGCAGAGATGCCGAAAGGGGTAGCACTCAATGGCCGCCAAGGTATAGTAAATATATCAACTTTTGAGCATCTTCCTTCATTCTCCCATATCTTCCATGGAGACGTCGTATTTGCTTTGACTAGCCCTCTCCTGCGTTTCTCCGTCTCTATCTTAGTTCATATTAAGCAAACCCTGCAACTCATAAGTTACCATTATGCGGTCGTTATTACTTTTGGTCTCAACACTCCTTACCTCCTCGTTTGCCCTTCAGCTACCTTATGATCATATATTATGGGGACCTGGCGGTTTAGCAAGCGGTAACTTTGTCCGTCGGCAAGCTAATACCACGTCAAGCGCGGCTCCAACTACGACAAGCAGAGCGCCTGATTCTCCTTGCAAGAATGGGCCATTGACGAGGAGTTGCTGGTCCAATGGATTTAGTATTGCCACTGATTTTGACGAGAAATGGCCAAACACCGGGAAGACAGTATACGTGAGTGGATCCAGACAATGACTTTAAAGTTTGCTTATGTTCTCTAACCATTGTCTAGTATACGCTGGAACTGAGAAATACGACCTGTAATCCGGATGGGAATGGGAACCGCACTTGTCTGCTCTTCAACGACCAGCTTCCCGGTCCAACAATTATCGCAGGTGCGTGGATACTACTACTATTGTTTTAAGCCATCGATTAATGTCAAAAGCAGATTGGGGAGATACCATTGCCGTGACTGTGAAGAATTTCTTGCCTGATAATGGCACCTCGATCCACTGGCACGGAGTCCGTATGCTGGACACAGTCACAGAAGATGGAGTCAATGGCATAACAGAATGTAGGAATTCTTTTCGTTAGTTATGTTCCTTTGCGCTTTCTAACCCATCTAAGGCCCTCTTGCACCGGGTGACACTAAGGTCTATACGTTCAGAGCTACACAGTTTGGTACAACATGGTATCACAGCCATCACAGTGCGCAATACGGCGACGGCGCTGTCGGCACCCTCATCATCAATGGTCCTGCTGCGGCTAACTATGACATCGATCTGGGCACATACTCTGTCACGGATTGGTACTATCCCACCGCATTTCAAATCAATGCAATTTCCCACCAAAACCTACAGGTTCAAGCACCGCCGCCACCAGGGGACACCATCTTGATCAACGGCACGAACAAGCACCCTACTTCAGACGGTGGGAGCTATAGCAAAGTCAAGCTAACTCCAGGAAAGAAGTATCGCTTGAGATTAGTGAACACATCAGTGGACAATAACATTCGAGTGTCACTGGATGGGCATAAAATGAAGATCATCACCGGAGATTTCATTCCAGTTCAGCCAATTGACAGAGAATGGATATTACTCGGCATCGGTAAGTCTTTCCCTTCCGGATTTAGTCCTATGATTCTAATAGCGTCCGTGTAGGGCAACGGTATGATATTGTTATCCAAGCCAACCAGCCTGTTGGGAACTACTGGTTCCGCGCTATCGCCGCAGCACCATGTGCATCAGGGAATCGATTCTCTGCGCTGAGCATATTTCAGTATGACGGAGCACCGAACGCCGATCCAACCACGACCGGTTTTACGGTGCCGACCACCTGCGCCGACGAAGCTCCGCTGGTTCCGTGGGTCAAGAACAACGTGCCTTCCGAGTCGTTCATTTCCCAGGCCCAGAACTTGGATGTGGACCTGGGTCGGCAGCAGGTAACCACTAACGGCGAGAGCATTGTAAGCACCGGTTATGAGAGCGAAACGGATCTCTGCTAAAAACGTGATAGGTTGTCTGGGCTGTGAACATGACGGCTATTGACATCCAATGGGAGAAGCCAACCTTGCAGTACCTGATCGACGGGAACACTAACTACCCCCAAGTGTCCAACCTGATCGAAATCCCCGCCGGTCAACAATGGACCTACTGGATCATCCAAGAGACAGGTGGCACGGGGACACGAGTCCCCATCCCCCATCCCATGCATCTTCACGGCCACGACTTCTACATCCTCGGCAGCGGTCGGGGCACCTTCGACAAAAACGTCAACGTCGCCGACCTCAAGTTCAATAACCCTGACCGCCGCGACGTCACGTTCCTCCCAGGAGGCGGATGGGTCGTGGTCGCGTTCCCGACCGACAACCCGGGCGCGTGGTTGATGCACTGCCATGTCGCGTGGCATATTGGCGAAGGACTCGGCGTGCAGTTCTTGGAGCGGAAGAGTGAGATCACTCTACCGGGGCCGGCATGGCAGCAGACCTGCACGAACTGGAAGAGGTACTACAGCGGGAATCCAGCTTGGTTGAAGGAGGATTCGGGATTGTGAGCTGATATCGACGGTAGGGGACGCTGCAGAGCATAAAATATAGGTTTCTGATACGTTTCTAACTGTCCTCAATTACATGATGGCTCGTGGCAGAGCTGAGCAGAGGGAGTGGCACACAATGGTTCGTCCCTTTATTGTACTCGATGGAGAAAGGCATATATTAAAAACCTGGCAATATAACCAAGCATGCAACCCCTTTTTGTTATATCCACATTGTATGGTGACATGCCGGGAATATCTGACTCATGTAGGCACATTTTCCTCTAAATAGAGATAGGCGTTCTAAACCGGAGATGCAGTTGGCGAAGGAGCTAAGATATCGAAATCGATACTTGCTGTCAGATGTCAACTGTGCCACCCTAGGCCTTTGGATAAGGCTGGTGAGATTTTCCCACCCGATTGTTGGAGGTAGAAGGTGTTAGCTTGATGCTGTAACGGATGCGTACGAGCGGGATGGCGGAGCAGGCTTTGGTTAAGTCTTCGATTTTCCGTAAAAGGATAACGTTTGTCTGCTTAAGTTCGGAATTAAACACTTTATGCTCGGCATAAGGTGCTTTGATCTCCTCGTTGGACTGTCTGATAAGCTTATTAGAGCTTGTGAGGTAATTGACTTTCGCGGTAAGGTCGATGAGTAGGGTTTCCATCGAGCTTTCGGTGCCTTTGTCGCTATTCGGTTTCCTGTAGTCTGCGGTCTCGACTCGTCGATGCTGACCGGCTGGTCTCAGTTCTTCCGGGCTGCTGCCATTTGGTTCTGGCGGGTGGAATATCGTCTACCAAGAGATGCCATTCTGATTGTGATAATCACGACGCGACCGGGACGCGTCCACCACCGGGAGGAGCGACTGGATCACCTCCGTTTGAAATCCTAATTAATTATCCTCCTTTTTCCTGACTCTAGCGATCTATATATAAAACCTACGACAAAAACCAAGAATTTTCAAAATCTCCTTTCCACAGTATTCTCCGAGTTGAATATAAATGATGAACTCCAACGTGAAGCATCATGACATTTGTACATACATGTATCATCTACGCGTTGCGTAGCGAAGATAGGCAATTTTGGCCTTGTAGCCTAAGGCGTTGACATTATCCCCACACAATCAATCATCTTCCAAACGTCACGACAATGCTGATAACAATACCAGAAAGGTTCATCAATATATTTCGATTGAATCTGACAATTACCATGTGAGTTCTATACTGCTAACCAAATCTTCAGTATCACTGAGTGCAAAGCAGCAACCAGGAACCCGCATCGTGAGTAGGTTGCTTAGCCAACGGCTTCGTAAACAAGTCCGCGATCAACCTCATTTCGACCACACCTTTTCGAAAACCGACAACCTGCAACATAGCAAGGCCAACAGAGTCGCAAAAATGGCGTCAAAATCATCATCAGGACGGGAAAAGTCCAAGACGCATAAGCTAGCGATCAAAGGGTCCTCGAAAATCGTCGCGGAGTTTGTATGTGATCCTACCCGTCAACACAGCAGGCTCTCTAATAAATCGCACAGTTCGAGTATGGGATCAACACGATACTGTGAGTCATAATTTGGCGGTGCTAATAGCAGGTATTAACGAGCGAAAGATACCAACGTGGAGTGTACCCGGCCGAAGACTTTATGGCGTGAGTTATGTGCACCGTCAAGACAATCGCAGAAACCGGCTAACGACTTGCATCAGGGTCAAAAAGTACAACCTCAATATGCTCGTAGCCAGCGACGACCAAGTCAAAGCCTATATTAAGAAGATCATGTCGCAGCTGAACAAATGGATGGTCGGCGGGAAGATCAACAAGCTGGTGGTGGTGATAACCGACAAGGAGACGGGGGAGCACGTTGAGCGATGGCAGTTTGACGTACAAATTCTCGGTGGCGGCAAATCGAGCAAGAGCCGGGCGGCAAAGTCATCAACAGGGGATAAGGAGAATACAGCACCAGAGTACGTGCCCGCAAACCCCTTCATCCTTCCGAGGTGCTAATGATTCATGATAGGTCAGCATCAGCGGACGCCGCATCACAGGAGAAGACCCTCCAAGAGATTCAAGCCGAAATCCAACATCTATTCCGACAGATCACTGCATCGGTTACATTCCTCCCGATGTTGACAAATCCTTGCACATTCAACGTATTGGTGTACGCCGATGCGGACTCAGAAGTCCCGGTTGAGTGGGGCGACTCTGATGCGAAGGAGATCATCAATGGAGAAAAGGTTCAATTACGGAGTTTCAGCACAAGCAACCATCGGGTTGATGCTGTTGTGAGCTACAGATTCGGCGACTGAACGAGGCTGCTTTTGAGCGATGATACCTTTTATTTACATGTTTATTAGCGTCCATGGTCGGTTTTCGGTGGAAAGCCTCACGTTCTGGTTGTTCCTAATAGGTCAGCAAATTCATCAGCACAAGGCTTCCTGTACTTTTTTAGGTGCCAGCAGCGGTCAGTTGTTCAATCGGATCTCAGAATGCTCGGCTTGGCAAAATCCTCAGCCTTATCCGTGCAGCCTTGCGGCTCTACCCTTTTGTCACCGCTACTCTCTCCAAGGTATTTATTATTCTGGACTGTCCGTACAACCGTCATTTAAGGGATAGTCGTTTTGCAATGAGTTCATCATGAGGCTTATTAACGTGCAAAGTCGTCAACTTGAAGAGTTTCAAGGGAGAAATTTAGGGAAGATTTTCCCACCATATGTTATCCTATCCCACACATGGGGTCCAGAGGAAATCAGCTTTGAGGATCTCAGCCTTGGTCTCGAAAACGCCAAAAGGAAGTGCGGGTATAAGAAGTTCGATTCTGCTTGCACCGTTGCTTTAAAGAACGGATTCACTCATCTATGGATGGATACCTGCTGCATCGATAAGTCAAGCAGTGCTGAACTGTCCGAGGCCATCAACTCTATGTTCCGATGGTACAAAAGAGCCAAGATTTGCTATGCATATTTGGAAGACGTTGGCTCAGAATCCGAAGATGAAGAGCAGCGAGAGTCTGCCTTTGCAAAAAGCCGATGGTTCACTCGGGGGTGGACCTTACAAGAACTCATTGCTCCTCCCGAAATCTGGTTCTTCTCAAGAGAATGGAATGGCCTTGGAAAACGGAGCGATTTAGCCGGAGCTCTCAGCAGCGCCACCGGTATCGATCCATATATCCTCACGACAGGCAGAAAAGCTCTACGACGAACAAGCATGGCGGAGCGAATGTCCTGGGCCGCGAAGCGAGAAACCACCAGACCAGAAGATATTGCATACTGTCTCCTGGGTATCTTCGACGTGAACATGAATCTATTGTACGGAGAAGGGAAAACGAAAGCATTCATTCGACTACAGGAAGAGATCCTCAAGAGATACCCCGACCAATCCATGCTCGCGTGGACTCCGAAAAAGCTCCACCGACTTGGTCTCAGAGGTCCTCTCGCACTCCACCCGAAAGAATTTGAAGATTCTGCAAATTTCATGCCAGTCCCATTCCGTTATCGGGACTTTGCCATCACGGAAATGGGTCTCCAAATCACACTCAATGTGGTTGCTGACGAGGACAACGAAAATGTCTGGGGCATGTTGGAATGTCACGAAAAGGGCAACTTTCAGTGCCTCGTAGCAATCCCTTTACGTCCCATCAGATCCGCAAACGACGAGAGCAACACCGTACGCCTCTATGCCAGGGATCCCAATATAGGGCCGGCTCTGTTGCCAGTTACAGTGAAAGGGTCTGGTATAACAAAGGTGGAATTTATACCCGCAAATGGCCCAGTGGCACCATACGGGCTTGTACCACTCACTGGCCACTGGAAGGTGTCGCAGCGGCGAATCTTCATTCCCACGTCTCCTAAAGACGTGGACCCTCCTTGCGAACATGTGGAGGTACACCTCGGCACCGACCTTGAAATCGTAACGGCTTTTCCGGAAAGCAGCTGGAATCCAGTCACCAAAGTTATGAACTTTGACCGAGCTGGTATCATCGAGAAGGTCGGCGCGGTGTTTTTCAAGGATTCCGAGAGTGACGCTTCCATGGCGGTCATATTTGGAATAAGATATGACGAATCCGCGTTTGTGAAACTGGAATCGCTGGCCCCAGAGAAGATCGCAACCATCGATCACCTGCAGAGTCGGACTCGGGAAGAATTTGCTGACCTTGAACGTGGCCGCTTCTATCATAAAGCACAATTGCGGGTTGCCAGCGATTTCGGCAACAAAGGAAATGTTTTGACAGCCACCCTCGATCTGAAGAACTTCATGGGGAGGCCGTTCTATCGTATTGGAGTGGTTTCTCCATTATCTTTTGTCAGTGATATTGTTGCACCTCGGAAACCTATGCGGAAGATGAGTGTGCAGTCTTCGTCCAGTTCAGAACAGGACTACTCCTCAACTGCTCTCTAGCAGGTTGATCGCGATTTGAGAATTAGGTTCATACGCATTGCTTAACTATGTCCCAAGACCTTGTCGCTTTATCCAATCTGAATATTGATTCTCACTGCGCCACATTATTAAGGGTACAAGCCACACACTGGTGGAAATCAGTGCTCTGAAATTGAACCCCTGACACTTGATAGGTAAAGACTTTTGACTCGCCTTTGTAGAACATTGTGCCTGCCAATGTTGGAAGATTTCCAAGAAGAATCAGGTTCAGACCTTCTAAAGATTGACCCTCTATAGTTTCCTTGTCAGGGCTGTGCTTGATTTTAGCGTTACGAGGCAGCAGGTGAATGTAGGGATAGGTGAATTAAGTGGAATTTTATATAGTTAGTTAGTTACCATTTAACTAGTTAGTTAGTTAATTGAATTAAGACTAAGAAAGTTTGGCATGATGGTAGAGTGATTGCCGAGTATCGTACATTGGTTTGTCTCTTCCTGTGAACGCACATGTTGGAAGTCGCCGCCCATGGGTATGTGCAAAATTCCATGAGTTCGAACCCAGCCATGACCATTATTTTTGTCATCCCCCCCAAATGGCTAGAAGAGACACAGACGGCGTACTTTTCTATCCAAAACCGCCAACATTAACTCTTTAAGGTGTGGGAAAGAAATGGGGTTCTCTGGAGGGAGTAGAGGTCAGTGGCTCATGTGACGATGCAATGGAAGGTTCAGGCGTAGACTCTGATCATCCTTTGGGACCGCTCCTCCACCTCGCCAATTCCTTGACTTCCGCTCCTTGGCTTAAGAGTGTCTGGTTCTACAGGCACCTTTACCAACCTCGATGGCATGCCGGATCCTTCAATGTTCGCTTGCCCAGGCGTATGCTGTGGTGTGATCAGCACGGAGTCTCCCCTCTGTGGTACCATGAGCCATCGATGTGGTCAGAGTTCCTTTGGATGAAGCTAATCTAATCTTTTAGGACTCATCCCTCTTCCACCATCGCTTACAGCGACTTCGACATCCACTCGCAACATTATCTCCGGCTGAGAGTCCCGGCCGTCTTCGTCGCAGCTTGGTTCGTTCTGTCTCCATACTGCGATATACATTTCGACCTTCACTCCACCCTTCGTTGTAGTCCTGATTTTGTATAGCTCCCGCGCCTGCTTCGGGATGTCGGACGCAGGGAATCTGAGGCATTTGTGCAAGTCCTGGGTAGTCGGGTTGCTTTGAACTGTGTCATCAGGCAAATCAAATGCCGCTGAAGTTGTCGAACTTGAACAATTGCTCTGCGGGTGTACATAACCTATTAATAGCTTTGGGTTCCCGACGACGACCCAAACAGGCAACCCCATCTGATTCCTCCTATGACACAATCAGTAGCCCGAAAGATTAGACTACCCCTGGTATGTGGATGGAATCATCTTCATAGGGCTGCAGCTCACCAGATGGCTGGGAGATGATAAATGGACATCTTCGTTTATGATATGTATGCCAGAACCGAGATGTCACTAATTAACCGTCCATGCCCTTCAACGCTGGGCAGACTTTCACTATGGTAGTGGCTAATCCCAAACCAAGGGACGGTGTCACGCCTAGACTATTTCCTTGAACTTCATTGTGCTTCAATTGAATGAGGATACTTTGGAAATTAGCATTGTTCGTCAAATTTGCTAGGAATTTCGTGTTCATGTCACAACGGCACGTGCTGTGGCCTTAGATGTCAAACTGGAACTGTGGAACTTGGCTTAAGGCCGCACTGCCATTACTAATTCATTCATATTCATTCTGATCCATCTCAACTTTCAAGTTTCTCGACGTCATGTCATCAACTTTATTTCATTTTTTTCTTCCTTTCAATTGGAGTTCAATTGAGGGATATGAAGCACTAATTCGGGACTCAATTGAGCATTAAGGCCGCATATCCGTCTACTTAAGTCCACTTGCTTGATAATGCGTGTTCCAGGACTCATTCCCGTTACGATTGGTCGTCTCCGCTGAAGGATGTAGCACCCACCTCCGGCAAATTCGCCATGCTGTCGCGTTGATTTCCTTTCCAGACAGGTTTTGTCAGCGCTGCCCTTCGCGCTCTATGCAATTCTTTCTCGCAATTCTTGCTCCTGCTTATGTATTAACATCATCCCCCTGAGTTCCTGCGTAGGGCGTGAGTCAAGCTGCATGAAGATCGTCGTGACTCACCAGTGCCTGAAACTTCGGCGTTCATTTAAGTACATCCTATATCCCTTTTCATAGTGTTTAAAAGACATTTCCATACAATCAATTGCGCTCCTAAAACGTTCTGTATTCCCATGATGTCGAAACCAGACATCAAGTCATGGACCAAAACCATCAACGATCAGACATACCTTATCTCCACCGACATCAATCTCCACTCCCCATCCTTCATCAATTCTGTCTTCGCCATGGAGGAGATGTACTGGGCCAAGCCCATCGACCTCGATGCAATTGACCTTCTTCTTCGCAACTCCTGCACCCTTGGCCTGCATCTCGTCAATTCCTCATCAACTTCACCAACCGCATATACACCTTCCGACGTCACTCAAATCGGCATCTCCCGCCTCATCACTGACTACGTCACCTTCGCCTATCTTACTGACGTGTTCATCCTCCCGGAGCACCAAGACGGAGGCCTCGGCAAGTGGCTTATTGCTAGCACGAAGGAAGTCGTGCTAGAGATGAAATTTTTGCGCCGTTTTATGTTATTGACCCGGTGTGGACCGGAATATAGGACTATTCCTTTTTATGAGAAAGAATTGGGAATGCAAGTGCATGTCCCCGGAGTTGAGGGCCTTGTCACCATGGTGAGGAAGAAGGAAGAGTATCCAGAGGAGGAGATGAGGTTGGGGAGGTGGGGGACGGTGTCTACAGTAGAGTAGCAGACGTTTGTTGAGCTGTTAAAAATGCTTTAACTATATTACTAGAATAGATCTTTGACTTGGAGGCAGGAGGTGCTGACTTGTGAGTCCATTACCATGTTTTCCCCTATCCCTTGACTGTCCTTCGTTCTAGTCTCATAATGCTATGTCTCTTCTACCCAAAATTGTCAGAATATTTTGATATACTTCCGTGTAGAAAGGGATTCCATATTCGATCTTGGCCGACAGTTGTTGACAACGCTTGGTTGTTGGACACGGCTACCCGTGATCATACTGTGTGTTTGGGCCGGTTCATGCAGACAAGTTTTTCAGGTACTAATGATGATTGCCCAATTAACCGGAATTTCTATTCATCTCACCGTTACTCGCTCTCTTTAAAGCCACGATTGCTGTCTGATCACTTACTGGACAACTGGACGCGTCTTGGGTCTGCTGTTTACATCTCGATTGCACATGAAGATCAAAATCATTATCTCTGAATCCTGAGCGAAGCCCGCTTCGTTGGATGATGTCCATTCATTTCATTAGCAAGGGATCGTTCTGAAATCCAGTCCACATCATATGGGGGTTCAATGGAAAGGCAAATGGGTGGTTGGGTAAATTCGTACCAGTTGTTTCGGCAAGACTCGGTCATACACTGATATCTTGACTCATCGCACACCCTTCTACGCGTCGCGCTTGATATGGATCGCGCCGCAATGTTGCTTGGATTCTTCCCTTTAAATTCCCATCGTCTATCCCGTCTCTGCCTCCTTTTCACCTATACTTCTTTTCACGTATACTCTCGACGGCAAAGCTCATTATCAGAAATTTGCACACTCCCAAATCCCGCTCGGGGTATTATGTCCTACTGCTTCCGCTCGAATCTTCCGAACTTACTTAACTGGCTCCAAGAGCACCCTCTTTTTTGAACATTCCTCCCCACCCGGTATGGCATCGAATAACGGCATGACCAACAGCCGAGTTCCATGGCTATTACGAGATGGACCAACGACCAGTCCCAAAACGAGCCCTGGAACCCTTTTACACTTCAGTAACCCCTTTCGCTCCGCTGTTTTAGGTCACACTTTGTTAATGCGCAATGCAGGACGAACCCCACTCTCGTAGTTGGCCAGCCGGATCGCCATCCGCACCACTGTTTACTTTCAGGATGCCATGATGAGCCGGACAATCGAAGCCACTTCGCCTCTCGCCCCCCTTTAACCATCCCTGACACTACGTCCGAGCATGGATATTCCCGAACGTTTGAATTCGAACTATCTTGCCTATCCCCCGAGCATGTGGCAGATGACGGAAATTCAACTCACCTTGGGATTGTATATGGATCTTTAGTCGGTATGAATTCAACTAGGGTCATTCGTAGCAACGAGTACCGGCATAGGGATTCTGCCGTTTCAATTGCGTCAAATGCGCCCGAGGATATGATGGGTGAAGCTGATATGATTCCCGAACAATCCAGTTCAGGGATAGACACCTATCTAATTGGTATTGGGGGATGGACGGCTCATAATGCTCTACGCAGCGCCGCTGGACGGCCGCACTTACTCAATTTACGTTCTCTATTTGGGTGTAGGGAGTTGTGGAGCGAGCCTGATGACTGCTTTAACAGATTGTAACTGTCGCGCTAGAGCTGATTTAGAACGATTGAAAAGAGTCGAAAATCGAAGATACGTATACGCATGGCTGGGGTGAGTAGGATCATCTGTTGTGAGTCTTGGGGAACTGATTAGGAAAAATAAATTGACACACATCGATGGCGGGTAGACAACTAAGTACACCTTTCGAGGACGTATGAAGCAATGGTGTGTTCGAATTCATGGACAATAGTCTCCTATAAATAGATTTTGAAAACCCCGTTACATACACTTCCGCGCAACGATCTCTACAATAGATATATAAGAAGCGAGGGGGTTAGAAATTTAAACAAAGGAATATCAGTAGAGCGAATTACTCAAAGAAAGGGAGAGCCAAAAGCTCCTAACGAGGACCTTGGGATCCCATATTCGTCAAGGAGAGAATGGAGGATCGGCTCGGGGCCGAACGCGCTGGACACCAAATAGCTAATGGCACCTGAAGTTAGCCCTAGAGAGGCCGATGTCTCCAGTAGTCAACACCGGCCGCTTGAAAGGCTTCCATCACATTCTAATATGTCTGTCTATTATGAATGCTGCGTCAACTTCCTAGAGATCGACAGCTTTCAGCTCCGGCAATTCGTGTGCACAACTCTGAGCAAGGTCCATAAGATATCCTTCGAGCGGCCCAGTCGTACCTAGAATTTCTAACCTCTTGAGTGGGGGCGGGGAGAAGTTCCGTCAACTTAGGTGGTGTGTAATTCTCATCATCGCAACCAGTGAGGTAGATGGCCGAAACAACCAATTCTGTCAATTTCGCGAAAGGTTTTAAGGCCCCTATTGATTCAAGTAAACCATCCTCACACTCGAGGTCATATAACCCACGAGCGTCGAGGGTGAGGTGTTCAAGCGAGTTTCTGTGCGGCTCAAGCGCTTCTCTGGTGTCGATTGTTGTGAAAGGGGCCACGCCAACTGTTGCAGGGCCCCATTCACATGTAAGCACCTTCAGAGCCCGAGGACGGAGCTAAATGTGCTGAAGGTACTCATCAGTCACTGCGGTGCAATCTAGGCGAACGACTTCTACGTTAGAAGATCCCGGAGAAGGCCAGTTGAAGCCCGGAGTGACTGGCTCGTCCGATCCCATCGAAAAGGCGTCAATCCTACGGACTGTGGGTATATGCATAAAGAATACAAAAACATCGGGATCAAAACTACCTTCGGTATCGTTATGGTAGAGCGACACTGTGCTTAACGACTGAAATCGGTGGGCCGGAAAAGTCGAAAGTGACGCGCTCCCAAAAAGCCGCCAGGTGATGGCCTGGCGGTGATCTAGACTAGAATTGAGGGGATCGTCCGGTGGGAAGGGAACCTGTGTCGGGAAGACCTGAAGATTCGGAACTTGAAGAAGAATCAATGCCACAATAAAATTATCCAGGCCTTTTTCAATGGCTTGGACCTAGCGATCCTGTTCTGGTATGTCCAAACCTTTTGTATGATCAATGATCCAACTGATATCCGACAGCTCTAGATGGTCTCCCGGTCCATCAAAAGCGTCGGTGGCGTTCCATAATTCGATATCCACCTCGCATACTTGCTCTGCCAGGTCTGGTCGATCGATGATGGTTCTTAGGACCAATGGAAACTTCTCCACCTCGCGAGAAATGAACGTTCGGTAAAGCACTGGCTGGGCGAGATCGCAAAATCGTGTGCAAACCAAACAAGCATTTGGAAGCGCAGTGTTCTGAACCTTCTTCTCGCCGTAAGATCTTACCTCTCCCGGTCGTCTTCCGTCGATGAAAAAGAAAATTTTCAGCAAAATCTCATCCCTAAGATCCAGAAGACTGGGACTCTGGGCCATTGTGCAACAGTCACGTAAATATTGGTGGTTCGGCGCTGGTGAACACTGATCCAAATCATTCGGGCAGCCACGAACTCTTTATTCTTGTCGCCTGTCGCCTATTAGATTAAATGTATTTTGAGGCACAGGGCTGGTCCTCCGCCACGGCAGGAGGGGATGCGGGTTTGGATTGATATTCCCTGATCAAAACTTGCACGATTCAGATGCGGACGAGGGTGAACGGCGGGCTGAAGTGGGTGTAGGTATCCATATGCAGAGAAACGAGATATGCGTCACGTGTATGGTGTACCAGTAGTGGCTTAAGGTTGATATGGGAGTTGACCTGACATGGAGTGAGCAAGAAGTGAGCAGAGGTGAGTGATGCCGCCGATATTGATGTCCAAGGCATCGAAATATCTGCCTTCCCAACCACCCCAGCCTTCTCTTTACCTAATCTCTTACAACGTCAACCATCGCGTCACATCAATCAATCTACCTAAGGTACTGAATATATCTTCTCTTAACATATCGAACATCTTGCTTTTCTGTAGACAAGCTTGAACGGGGACCACCTGATCCTAAGAATATGCCAATGTCAAACTATCAGCTCGATCTCATGCCTGGTTCCGAGCATCCCTCCCGAGTTCGGCTCCCCGACCAGATGCCGGTATATTGGCTGCAAGCAGCCTGACAACGCCCAATAACAAAGCAAAACAAACTATGTACTACGAGTTTCATTGAGTCGGCTTGTGGTGTTCCGCAGGACCAGTTAGAGGAGGGCGCTGGTAAGCTGAGCGCCGATCTGAACATCGCATATCTGCTACGGCGTTGCTATATTCCCGTGGCAGAGCCAAGACTGGGAACTCTCGCATTAACTCATAACCCTTCTATAATTGGATAATGAGAAGTGAAGGTGAAGTGGACATATCCGTCTGGATTCCCCGGCTGTCATTCTGGACGCGCCCGCGACATGGGATTTGCTAGTTTTCTTCCGATCAGCCCCGGCTTTTCTATATCGAGTCATACTGTTATTTTCTATTTCAATATATCTTTTCAAACCGCAGCTTATGGTAGGATACTGTAAATTCGGAATATGCATTCTACCCCGGCTTCACGTCGTGGTACTGCCAAGGGAAGGGAAAGGGCGCCCAACCACGATGACTATATAAAGCCCATGGAAACCCGCTTCTATCCCTGGCTGTGGATAAAAGGTTTGAGTTTCCAGATTCTGTGGACTCTGTAAAACTTTAGACGGCGCTATTTCATAGTGTTTGTCTTTTCGTACTCATTGCAGCTCATCATGTCCGAGGTCGTCTCACAGGAGAAGGTAAAGTCTAGGGTTGAAAAGGAGGGCACTTATATCGTGACCAAACAGGTCCGACCCGAGAGCGAGGAGAGTGGTAGGGACGCCGAGCGCGACCTCAAGACCGCCAAAGATGGCAAAACGGTCTTGATTCCCCAACCATCTAACGATCCAGAGGATCCCCTGAACTGGTCATGGACGAAGAAACATGCTGTCTTCCTAGCCTTGATACCCGGGTGTCTGCTCACAGACTGGGTCATCACCTGGGGAGCCACTTTGTTTGAGCAGCAGGCTATGGACTGGCATATGAAGGTCCCCGATGTAGCGAATTCAATTTCTGGCGCTATCTTTATGCAGGGCCCTGGTGGACTCCTTGCTGTACCACTGTGCCAGCGATATGGCAGGTGAGTGAAAGCGTGGCTCGAGGCGCAACCTATGCCTTCATAGCATCAAATTGATTTTAATAGATTCCCTGTACTCTTCTGGTCGCAATTCCTGACCTTAGTGTGCTCAATTGGCGCAGCCCTGGCACACAACTATGCCGGATTCACCGCATGTCGCACCTTGCAGGGCTTCTTTGGGGCCCCACCGCAGGTTATCGGCCTCTCCATCATCCACGACATGTTCTTCTTCCACGAACGTGCTCGGAAGGTCAACATCTGGGCTTTCTCCTTTCTCCTAGGCCCATATCTTGGTCCATTCATCTCCGGTTTCATTGCAGAGAAGCTATGGTGGAGAGATAACTTCGCTGTTTTGTGCGGCTTTTACGGATTCTCGGTCTTGACTATCATTTTACTCGGCGATGAGACTCTGTACGACCGTAATGCAGAGAGAAAACCGAGGCAGAAAGGCATCCTGGGCCGGCTGTCGCTCTTGACTGGAGTCACTGGGTTCCAGGAGCGCGATCCCCGTCCAACCCTCTGGACCGTTCTCAAGGATATTTTTGGCCTGTTGCTTCGACCATACCTTCTCCTACCGAGTAAGTCAATCCTAATTTCCTATTGCAACATCTAACCTTCCTTTCAGCGTTCGGCTTCGTCACTTTCCTCACCATGTGGACAATCGGAATCGTATCCACCATCACACAATTCGTGGCTCCCCCACCATATCGCTTCTCCCACGCCTCCGTGGGCCTGTTATTCTTCGCCCCGATGATCGGAACCCTCTGCGCCGAGCTCTGGGGCCACTGGTTCAATGACTTCCTCTGCCAGCGCTACATCCGCACGCACGGCGGAAAGTATGTCCCGGAGAACCGTCTCTGGGCCGTGTATCCCGCATGGCTCATCGGCATCATCGGGCTCATCGTCTTTGGTCAGACACTGCAGCACAATCTTCACTGGATCGGCGTGGCGATTGGTTGGGGGCTCAACTGCTTCTCCACGCTCGGAACCACGACGGCCATCTCGGCGTATATTCTGGACGTTTTCCCCCAGCATTCCGCATTGGCAAGCGCGTGGATCTGTGCGTTCAGGACGGTCGGTGGGTTCACGGTGGTGTACTTCCAGCTCAAGTGGGTTAATCTCAATGGGCCAGGTGTGGCGTTCGGGTGCCAGGCGGCAATTGTTGCGGGTGTGGTGGCGTCGATCGTTGTGACGCAGGTGTTCGGCAAGAAATGGAGGGCGAAGTTTCCTGCACCAGCTGCTGAGAACTAATATTAATTGTAGGCAATGGGGAATGGATGGAAAACTTCATGGAAGTGTGCTCATCCAGAATTAAGGCCAAATTCTCCAGCTTTAGCGTTATGAACCTAGTCCGGGGATGGATCGGCGTTCAAAGTGCGGCTTTGCTCTCCGAGTAAAGGGAATTCTAAGCAATGTTGTTAGTTGTCTAGAATGAGATCATCTGGTAATTGGCAGTTCGGATCATCGAGTATGACATTCGGTCACACCTAGGGATTCGGGAGATGGGCGATAGGATAGTGATCTTGTGACCATCGACTATCTCCAGGGGCGAGAACCAACCGGTGAGAACTGAGGAGGCGTCGTCGCTCTGCAGTCGCTAGAACCACGATCTAGGCACCTAAAACAGATTCCAGTCTCCAGGGAACTACAATTCAAGTTAACTTCGTCGGATGCTATATATCATATGCGGTAACGATCAGCGCTTAGGGGCTGCAAAAGTGAGGCGAGCGCCCAGATGGTTCTACCCACAAGCATTCTTGAGGGGAATTATGGATGGCTTCTGGGGCATTTTTCTGTGATAAGAGATTGTGGATTTGGAGAAACGATGTTTGAGAGCGATCTCTCACATCGTATTCCGAGAAGTACCTTGTTGTACAGGATAAGTGTCCATGAATTGCACGGACTATCCCAACCGATGCTTTGTTCGATGGAAAAGGGATAACCTTGTAGTTCGGAGAAAACGCTTTGGGCAGAAGAATAGAATAATGCTCATTCTCTTCGGCTTCGACTGTTTGGAGCAGTGAACCTGACTGGAGGCGATCTTCACGGCTTCCGGACTCGCAAATGACGTTGGTGCGGATGTATTGTCCTTTGGCACCTAGTCCCGGGGCAACTATACCACGTCTCCAAGTTCCATTTTTGAAAAAGAATGCATAATTTCCAGCCAGCCTAGAGATCTGCATATTATGTAGGCGACTAGACGCCGGAACGTTCAAAAACAGAAAATACGACACCGATGGGATATGAGAACAGTGCATAGGACAATAATTTGCCGCTAGAAGCAACCTCGTCCGGTAACCTGATTACCCCATCGCGTGGAAAGCGTCACTCGCACCTAGGAAAAGGAACGATTATGCTCATGCACATAGCGATGGAGTATAGGAAAAGACGGTGACTCGATGCCCCCCGCCAGTGGCCATTCCAGTGACCTCAATTGACCCCATATCAACCGGTGTGCTTTGAGGCGCTAGCGTCGACAGCAGAATTAATAGTCTTCTGAGGGAACCATGCATATACGAAAGGAGACGATGTGTAGGATGGACAAAAGAGCGCTATTTTGGCATGCGTCTTGGTCGACAAGTGAGGCGTTACAACGGACGACGAAACAGGTAACCAATTTTCAGTTCAAATTCCCTTGACAGGAAGTATATTGAAGGGTTAGTATCATGTTCTGGAAACCCAAATGCGGATACGTTTACATGTACTCGGTGAGAATGCTCTGAGGTTTACAAAGTCGACGAAGGGTAGGGAATTCGAGTGCAAACACTGACTGGAAATGTTGTATATTGACTGAGTGCCGTACCATTTTGCCTCGTGTAAGACAGGAAATGGTGATATCATGCTGTTAGGCCCCATGCCCGTCCTTTGGATACAGGACACTGAATCGTTCGCTGACTGGAATTGGAACTTGCCTGATAGGAACGTCGAATATTGAACATGTGTTGGACGATCCCGGTGATCTGTATCCTCGAGGGAGGTACAATTGGTAACGCCTGACAACAGCTGATTCGTTAACCAAGGCATGAGCTGTCGATTACCGTACCCAAATTTTATGAGTGGCTGGCGACGGTGGGTGTGACTGAAAAACCGGTGCCCTATGGCTCCTACGGCGTGATGAGACACGGCCAGTTTTCATGGATCGATGCCCACGGGGCGTACTAGACTTCCTCTCTATGGGTGTACTTCACCAGTGCGCCCAGTTTAGACCAGTTCTGTTAACGGACCGAACCATGGAAAACAAGGAGGTCACTTCCAGATATCCCATCGGCAAGTAACCGACAATGAAGTGCATAAGGTTGACGCATGGCTACCTCATCACAACATGAGACTAGTTACAAGAAGGCTAGGAATGCCCCTGATATTCGTGAGGGTGTATATCGCCTCCGATCTCCATTTGTGTGAAGGCCACTGGTGATCCGGCCTTGGATGACGATGCTTGAGAGGCGGGGAACCTATAGCCGGTAAGTTGTACAGAAGAAATGATAGCCGCTCACTGGTATAGTCAAGTAACGAGGTCACAAGAATACTTGAGAGTGTTGTCGCTCTGCTTTTGGCGCAAAGATCGGCACTTTAGGGCTTAACTTGGCTCTCCTACCGAGGAAGCGCAGGCAGACTTTGCCATGAGAAGGATGAAATCGCATCTGACAGGAAATGAACTGCCACGGAGAACTTTGGAGAACAGAAATGAACTTAGATATTCCGAGTAAAGCGTCCGACAGTGCTCCTTAAGGCTTTCAGTCGTGATGCGTCCCACGTCGAATACTGTCTGCAATATCAACGTGGAGAATTCCCAGCGCTCGGACAGATGAGGCGGAAGGCAGCTCCATTCGGACAATCAATCAGCAAAACATGACTTGACCTGAACATCGTGAGATCCGGTAACATCTCCATCGGCCAATGTACCGTGATGCTCAGCCTGCAGCTAATCTCAGGAGCTTCCAATTCGCCGAGCTATCGTCATTTCGGGCCCAATCGAAGCCCAAGACCATGTTAGGCAGCATCTAAGATGCATTGATGCCCGCCTCATTCTTCTAAGTCCTGTTTCTGGAAGAGCTACCTTTCGCCCTGTAGGATGGGTTTTCATGAATGGCGAAAGGAATCGCACGACAAGCCGAGTATTTCCGTTGGGCAACGTTGCTTGTCTGAATGAATAGTACCATATATATTTCGCATCTCACGATCTAGTGCTCTCCACGATGCTGTATCGATGCGTTGCGATATCCCAAGAGTTCATTTTATATCAGCTCAGGTCGAAAGTCGCCTCTTCACTTGTCAAGCGTACGTTTCTTATACCTTCGTCGGTCTGTCTTCATCGACGTTAAGAGGAGTTGTTCGCCGATCCATCAACCATCCTCAATATGTCGCTGAATAATTACTTCGTCCCCGGTTATGGCATCTCACGAACGGTGATACAAGGCGAGATCCGATACTTCTGCGGGCCAGACGCGATCGTTCGCCCTTACGTTCATCAGGTCAGGATTTTGCAGACCAAAACAAACCCGTCCGTTGAACTGTGCTGATGGACATTCAAGGGTCGAGATGGATTCCTCGTCACTACGGCAGGTGCACCATTAACCAAGGTAAGTCTGCATCATTGCACCCCTCATCTTTCTTTCTTCAAGGCATGATCGATACCAGTCAAAGCTCACGGTCCGCGTAGGAACAAATTGAAGACTTGAAGATTGCGTCCCACCAATACGAGCAACGGCAGGCAGAACGAAACGGCGACGAATGGTATGTCAACCGGCCGGTTCCAGTTGCGCAAAAGTCAAGGAATAATTGAAGTCAAATGGAGTCAAATTGAGGTCTCGATTTTTGTTCCATGTCCCACTAGGGCACGACAAAGGTTTTCAGAGCCAATACGTACGAGGACAGTGATCACGAAGAACACTGTCAACGAGAATACGATCTCTCAGGTTAGTTTTGTTGTTTATGGCGTTTGAATGCGTTCTGAAGCGTTCCTGTACGGCTATCTTAGTATCTCATACCCAACGTTTGGCCTGTCTGCCGTTAGCATTCTAGCAGATTTCTTCGGCTTCAAGGCTTCCATTTGGGTATGAAATCCAGTTTCTTGAACCTTGGCATTTTGGCAGATAATGAAGATCTGAAATGATTGTGAGAATGGAATTTGAATTATGTCGTCCGCATTCGGCGTTCAGATTTGATACCACGTTCGTCATTGTCTGCGTCACTGTAAAGGAGTCAATCACTCCAAGACCACGGAGTAAGAGCATGCATCACATCTTGACTTTCTCTCTTCTGCATTGGGAATAACGTCCCATTAATATCGATTTCGATGGACTGAGTATATCATCCATAGCTGCGTAGCACTCCGTGTTAGAAGGTAAATACTTTCACGATTGGGTCATGGTATTCCGAGGAAAAGATACATATTCCCAGCTACCCTGTTTTTCAAACTGCCATTCTCGACCGATCGGTTCTCTCCCATTCTTGTCAGCAAATAACCTTTAGTTTTATACTTTAACCAGTTAGTTATCTTTGATCCTATCTTAACACATCTAAAGCGCTGCAAGAAGAACTTTGGAAAGACCCTCCACGCTGCATCCTGGAGTTCTCTACTAGCGGGTTAGACCAGCCAGACCGACCCTTAAGGTTCCGTAACGATCATACTCCCTAGGTCCATTATCGGCGGGCAGGGGGCTGTAGCGTTCGTCAACTCGATAGAGGTCTCGTAGTATTCCGTGTTGGGTCCCGCGGTTAACGCATCTGTTGTGCATCGATTTAGGTACCGGAAAGATGTAGCTCCACAGATCCGAGAGGGGCAAATCTTCAGGTTCTATCAACAGACAACAAGGCGACGCTTCGGCACGCTTTACCAACACCATGCCTTAATGTATCTATTCAAGTGCACCTTTCTCTAAGTATTTTATTGGGAAGACAGCCGTCTATTCATATTAGAAATCTTTCTTCGACGTCTTTGTTTGCTTGCACAAGACCTACGGTATAGATTTGTTTCGCGATGTCGTCCGCCGATGTCGCTGCTCCTGCGGCACCAAATGTCTCCCAAGATCCATATCCGCCCGGCTCCTCTGCGACGAAGCTGCGACAAATGTTGGACGGCTCGTCGGATATAGTAGTCTGCCCAGGCGTATACGATGGATTCTCTGCGCGAATAGCACTAGAAGTCGGGTTTGACGCGTTATACATGGTACATCATATGATACGCAAGAAGTGAAATTGATACTGACATTTATATCAGACTGGTGCTGGCACCACCGCCTCCAAGCTCGGCCAAGCAGATCTCGGAATTGCTCAACTCCACGACATGCGAGCAAATGCAGAGATGATCTCTAGCCTTAACCCTTCAGTGCCTGTCATTGCCGACATGGACACTGGATATGGCGGTAAATAGCCGCATATATATTGTATAGAGTTCTGATCTAACTATCTTAGGGCCAATCATGGTTGCCCGATCAGTAACCCAGTATGCAATGTCCGGTGTTGCAGGGTTCCATATCGAGGACCAAGTCCAGGCCAAGAGATGCGGGCATCTTCAAGGCAAGCAACTGGTTGATATAGAGACATTCGTTTCGCGCATCCGAGCAGCTGTTGCAGCACGTCAAAAGATTGGATCCGACATTGTCGTCATTGCACGCACTGATGCATTGCAGTCGTTTGGATATGATGAATCAGTCCGTCGACTAAAAGCAGCTCGAGACGCTGGTGCGGATGTTGCCTTCCTGGAGGGCCTCGATTCGGTAGAGATGGGAAAGCAAATCGTCCAAGATATGGCACCAACCCCAGTGCTCCTCAATATGGTTGAACATGGAACCACGCCAACCATGAGCGTTAAGGAGGCGAAAGAGATCGGATTTCGGCTTATCATCTGGCCCTTTGCTGCACTTGCGCCCGCTTATGTGGCGATCAAAGCCACCATGGAAAAGCTCAAGCAAGATGGTGTTGCTGAGGCACCCAAGGAGCTGTCTCCAAGGAGACTGTTCGAGGTTTGTGGGCTGGGAGAAAGCATGGCTTTGGATAAGGCTGCTGGAGGACAGGCATTTGAGAAAGGGGCCTGAGATAGACTTCACGTGTAAATACGGCAATTAATCCAATTATGAACCCAATTTCAGCTTTATGGATTGTATCTGCTATGGGATGTTGTAGATCGAGTGCATTGATCCGCCATTATGCTCGTGTCATTGTACTGATTCTGTGAGGTTTAATCAAGACAATTATTAATATGTTAGGTGATGTGTGTCTAAGTTCGCCTATTACTGCTATGAATCAGACTAAGAAAGCTAAGGAAGGTCTAGAGTTGGTGGTAATTTATGAGTCTTATCTCTCCTGTGCAGGTATTAGCGTCATCCATATCTCGAACCTATCGTGACCCATCTTTGTGATAGTCTAGATGTTCTCGATGCAGCTACAAGGCTATCATCACTTGCTAGATTCGGGATTCTCCGTCTAGAGATCGTTGGGCCCACGGACTGGGCTAGGACTGCGCTCTGGCAGGTACCACAGGCCCCAACGCCTTTTGTTCTCGTTGTCAACCTTCTTCCGCTGGCTGGCGTCCAATTCTGCCGGCATCTGAGAGGTGGAAGACATAGTGGTCGTAGAGGTAGTAGTGGTGCTAGTTGTGCTAGTGGTCTCAGTGTTTGCAGTGGTCGAGGGAGCTTGGTGATAGGAGCCGCCGTCGTAACCGTGGCAGTCATGTCCGCAGAAGGAGAATGAACCATCTCGACGTCCGTCCTCACCCTGCGAGGTTGCCCCAGGGAGCCAAGCATCGGTCATCTCGATGTCCGAGTCCACGCAGGATCTGGTCGGAGTGTTCGAGCCTGGGCCCGAGCGGCTAAAACCGCTCCTAGGAGCAGCCGCAAGCTGTTTCCATGGACCCCAGTTGAAGAGGCCGGTAGGAAGCGCAGGTACTGTGCTGCCAATCCTGAACCCGCCGAAACCAGAAGGAGGCGCAATGCTGCTACCCCCAGAGCCGAAGAGACCGGTAGGAGGGGCGGCCGTTGTGCTGCTAGTTCCGAACCCCGCGAAACTAGGACCAGATGTTATACTACTACTACCCGAGCCGAAGAGGCTGGTAATAGGGAGCCGGCGTTGCGGGGCTATGATTGCTTTGTTCGACGTTCCCTGTTCGAGTGCGCTTTGCCAACATTTGTTACTTGTTCTTGTGTGAGAGTGTGGTCGGGTCTAAGGAAGGGCGTTATTAATAGCTCACTTCGATTTTAGAGGCTAGGAAGGATTGAAATTGGGAAACGTACCCACTCAGATGGACTTCTAAATCCACAATTAGGAACTCAATTCTGCAACATCGGGATCATCCAAGAACAACTGTATCAACAAAGGTCAGTACGTATCGCTTGTCGCTAATTGTAATTGATTCAGATTGCGAAATGAAAGAAAGCTCACTTCAATTTAGGTGAGAGGGACCGGAATTGAGTTATACCCACTGATTGTTTCTGAGTTGTAGTCTCCTAGTAAGTTTTGCAACTCAATGACTCTAGTACTCAGCTCTTGATGAGAGATTATCTTTTGATGGGCTCTATAGCGTGGAGATTCGGCATCACAAGAGCTTCTGGGTAGAGGTCCGAAACGAATACGAATAATATGAATAATATGAATAATTTGCGAATATGAATAAAGTCTTGGCGAATAATGTGAATATGAATACGCCTTATATTCATATTCGCGATATTCATGAATATTCATATTATTCATGAATATTTCACATAGATCTAGGTAAATAAAATTATAACATCTAAAGCCTCATTACTATAACATGTCAAGGAGTGCTTGGGACTGTTAATATAATAATCAAGGGGCTTTTCGTGTACTTCG